CTGTGTTTTAATGACTATTAAAGTTTTGTTACTTAAAATTAAAATCATAAGTAGCTGGGATTCTCAAAAATGTATTATATCTTGAAAAAAAATCTTGTATATAGTTGATGCAAAGTAACGTAACGTATGTTGTTAATAATAATTATAAAAGTTTAGTAAATACGAAAAATATTAGTATTTCATTGCCTCACACATATTTTAAATACTTTCTCACACTTACTGCTAATCATATTTAACCTTAATATAATAAACATTATAATTAAATAAACGACTTGAGAGATTTCTCTTTTAATTGTTAATAAGGTAATCATCACGTCTTGGTGATTTATGTTTGAGAAATCTTACTGTTTCTTGTAATATATTATGACCTGGTCCTACAAGCTTCAGGTCACTAACTCTCCAAGTTACTTGTGGACACACAAACAATAGAGAATAACTCCTAAACAAACATGCCTTACGAATTAAATAATAATTATTCATAATCTGTCAGTGATGTGTAAATACTCTTAAAGTACATATGACTCGGAAAAATCACATTGGTACTTGCCAGGATCGAACCCGCCCTCATGCATGAGAGGCGTGGGGATTCTGTTACGAGTTGTGGAGCATCTGAGTGGATGTTCTGCCTAAATTATTTCTAACACTAGATATTTTTGCTTTCTTTGATTAGCAGACACAAATGGTATTAAAAAATATAGTTACATACTAATTTATGGAACAAAAACTAAGCAAATGTTGAGAACTGTTACTCTCGTGTCGCATATCTTACAGTAAATTGTTAAATGATGTTCATAATAATAAAATATGGATGAAAGGTCGCCTCATATCATTGATTAAACATATAAATATATATCTATATATATAAAGGTAAATATCCAATTAAATATTAGACAACCCGTTAGTGGAGAAATTGTTTTGTAAGTCATAACATCATTAAAATAACATTTCATTTTCATTAACAAAAATGATATTAAATTAAGATTTTATCAATTAAACTATTTGTTAATCGTCATACATATAATATGTGTGTGTGTTTGTGTGTGTGTGTGTGTGTGTCGCAAGGAAAATATATTAACTTGGACCTATTAGCTCCAATAACTACATAATATCTATACATTAGTGACCACCTCTAATACAGGATACATATAATTGAGCAAGTTCCTTTTCCATTTGATATTAATTTAGAAATCAATACTAACTATCATATAATGATATTAAAACATTAAGAAGTCATTACTTCAATGTTAACTCATTAATTATTATATTTCATAATAAAGTTATTAAATAATTAACTATAGAAAAATAATTAAAAACCTATCTCAAAATGGCGCACCATTTCTTTGAATAAGTTATTATTATTCAGGACAGCATAAGGACGAAGGAAACGGACGTCCTGTGTACATTTTACATTAAACAAATAAATTATTGATATTATTGAGTTTTGTCATCAATTATCATGTCATGATAATTTCGTTTTTGTAAAAAAAGAAGTGATTGACTAATGTTAATGAAGATAAATCTAGATTTTTGTATACTTTTGTTATAACCGAATAAATGCTATTCTAAATGAATGTGAAATCATTTAAATGAAACTAATATTATTCGGATATATTACGAGATTTTTTTTTAAATTATAAACTACATACATTAAATATGTATAAAATATGACAGTGGAAGTTTCATAACACAATTCTGATTGAGGCGTTTAAATACATATTATAAATCATTGTCATTTATTTTCTTATCTTCTCAGAACTAACTTCAATAGTTACTGAGATTCTATATTATAATTTTATCAGCTCCTTCTGATTATAGATTCCCCTCAAAATATAATTCACCAATTGCAAATACAATTGATGTGAGTGTTTGTAAATCAAACCTTATTTATTGACCATAAAGTTGGAAGTTATCTGTTACAGATACGCTAGGTCAAAGGATTTGTTTATCTTCTTCTTCTATATATATAAAAATGGATTGATGTTCCTTAGTCTCGCTAAAACTCGAAAACAGCTGAACGGATTTATCTTATCTTAGTCTTGAAATGTTCGTGGAGGTTCAGGGAAGGTTTGAAAGCTGTAAAAAAATGATTCATTATTGGGAAAACCCTAAAAACAGCCCTTTTCTATTTCCCATACAAACGTTTTCTTTGACATTAGATTTGACAACTAACTAATATGTCAATCATTCTGTTTGATTGAAACAGAAAAAACCTGATTATTTATGGCCTCTAAAACGGAATAGAGTTCGCCCGGTCAGCTATACATATATTACTAATGACGAAACTAACGCGGACGAAGTCGCGGGCAAAAACTAGTTTTTTACTAAAAAAAGTACAATGACATTTTAGGTTCATACGGCGCCGTTTTCTTTTACAAAGAGAAATATTCCGAAAAACAGGTGAAGTGTTTGCGGCTGAAATAAAGTAATTTTCATGGCTTAAAGAAAGATAATATTGACTTCAGCCTGATTGCAGTTTTCTCTCTTAAAAGATAGGAAATAACGAAAGACTATAGAAGATGAGTCATAGACAAATAGATGATACAGATTATAATTATATATATAATATAATAATATATATGTAAGATGTTACTAAATATGCTAATGAAAAATCCTTATATAGAATTTAAGAAAAATAATCTGATCAATAAACCGATTCACAATACCCAAATAAGAGACATATTTAAAGTTAAAATAATGATCCAGCACATGAATACTCTTAGCAATCTATATTTTAGATGTATGGCTACATTTTATTACTTATGCTTAAGTTACTATTTTAACGAAAAATTCTTTGTTGTAATTAGGTGACAGTTTACTTAAGTAATAATTTCTATTTTAATGCGCCATGTTATATCATACGCAAGTAGTATCGTATAATTTGCGAACAGATAATAATATTTTAGAGTTTCCTCCTTATAATCGTTCCAAATTGGCAGAACCTCTTAATATCCTAAAAAACAATTCATCCTTTGCGCCAACAATAATAATTTTTATTCGTATTTGGTATATTAAAAATATTTTATGATTTTTGATATTCAAGTTTATAATTGATGTTTAATTTGTGGATGAATCTTAATAATAATGTTACACAATACAACACACATAGTTACAAATTGACTCATTCAAATACTATAGTAATATTATTTTAATTGCTTATTATAAGCATTACTTTATTGGCCATTAAAATTGCCCTGCTTTGGTTTCTTAAAAGCGCCATCTACCACATAAGAAGTATTTGGGTACCAGATTGCGTTTTGTATTACAGCGCCATCTAGATCGTATTTTAAGTAGTGAACTATAAATAGGTGTAAAAAATAAGATATTACAGATTTTACTTTTATTTACCTTAAATAATATTATTTATAAAGGTTAATATATTAAAGATAATCGTATCATTTAATGAAGCTGGTAACTATAAAGTTCATTTTTTTTATTTCTGGCAGCACCAACTCTTCTGGTTGACAATATTCCTATTTAAATTTTTACTCTGTTTAGTGTAAGTGATTAGGATGGTAGTGTAAGGTGTTGTTGATTTTGTTCAATATATTTAACAAGAAAATAATATATTAAAACCGATCTGTGTCCCAATGACTTGATCAATTGATATGTGATAAAGTATTTTTATATCCCGCACAAGTAAAGCAACGAAAATGGCAAAGTTAGTATTGTAATTGATGTACTATTTGACGATTAGCTGTGATGTAGACTTACTAGATAATCGTGATTTTAATGAACGTAGAGGTCTTAAGATAAATACTAAACAGTTACAAACGATAGCATCATTAAGATATTTTCATTCTCAGCTTTCCTAATAGGAGAAAAACACGTACATCGAAAATTGTATCACATTAAATATAAAGACAAAAAAACTATTTATTGATTGATTTAATTATAGATTAGGTTAAATTGGTTATAAAAATTAACAAATTACTGTCTTCTAATTAATATGTACTCATTAAACATGAAGTAATCGAAAACTTATTCAGAAAACATTAAAAAATGTGATGCAATGAAGATAATTATCAATAAAAACACTTAGGTGCATATTTTTATTGTTTATTTATATATAATAAGAATGATACTTCATAAATTTCAAAATTAATGTTTATAATATCCAAACTAGCTTACTATATATTCTAAATACCTATATATTATTAAAAAAATCTCTCAATTTATGAATTAATTGTTAATCTATATATAATGTCTGAAGGTAAATATAAATACAAACAGATAATATTATGGATTATGTTAAAAAAGCCTTACATTAAGATATATAAAAAAACAAGCTTTATGTTAAAAGAAATATTTTTTGTATATGTAAAAAATTGGAGATTGAATTTCCAATACACATGAAATATAAGACAGTTTTTTATTATTAATAAATATATATGTATGTATGAAAAATAACATCGAAAATGCTAAGATATAAATAGTATGTTAAAAACATGTTTTTCCCACGATAGTTCTATTAAGTTTCTTTTGAATCATGCAAATGTATTAAACGAGCTACCAATGTAATTAATATTATAATTTATTCATATATCTTGTTTGTTTTTATTTTGTGGTTTCATGAAACATAATATACTATATCTTGAATGCCAAGTCCGTTTATATATCAATTTATATATCCGGAGGTTTTTATAGTGTTAATAAAATTATATATAATAAAAAATGTAAGGAAATAACAGATTGAGTTTCCTGTCGGCATACTGATATTTAATATATATCTTAATTTGCTAGTAAGTAAAGTCAGGTGTCAATTAAGTATGTCTTATTATCTATATGAAAATTTTATAACAGTTTTTTGATATTTAGTTGATAGATGAAATTAATTTGTATGGGAATATATTGCACGATTTGTTGATGTAATTTTTTTGCTTTAAATTATATATAAGATAAAAATAAAATTTGTATATACATATTATATATATAGGTATGTGTGTGTGTGTGTGTGCGTGTGTGTAGTAAGCTTCTTATGTATAAACTCCTGTTATAGGGAAATGATGATAGTGTTTGTGTATGACACACAATGCTGTCTGTCTGAGGAAGATGATCCGGCTGATGCTGTACTGTATTTTCATCCTGGCTGGGTGTCTGATACACAGAGACTGGCACTGGCTGGGCAGGTATGGAACAAACATACATACATACATTAGACTACTAAAAGACTTGGGCTTGTCCAGAACTCACATTAATACATTCTTGAAGGTAGTCCTAGTAGGTTCTTTTCAAATTTGATTAGGTAGAGAGAAGAGCTTGGACAGTGGAGGTAAGCGTTTAACGCGCGTTAGATAGTGGTCCCTTAAACCTACACCTGGGTCGTAAGTCACAGTCACTGTTGAAGCTCCTCTCTCTACAACGATGGACCCGACACCCGCACGGTGAATACATTGAATTATGAGAAGTTTCGTTTCTGATTATTTCTTCTCCAAAATTTGGAATATGAACCAGATGTTTCAAACTTGTTACATATTTATGTTCTTGCGAAATAATGTCCTACATATTGGTTACATACATATAATTTGTTCTCGCGACAGGAAGACGAAGTTATTTAGGTTGTAGTAATATATAAAACATGTTATTTCATTTATTTAACGGTACATATATATTTATACAATGATTCACATCACAATTTCTCAATTCCCTGCACACTTTCATAAAATACTTAATATATGACCGTACTACAACAGTACGTGTGTTCAAATGATGAAATTAATTCAAGTTTTATTTCCGTCCAATGTTTACGAAAATCCTGTTTGAGAAACAACTTTTATATCATGAGGTCGTTTGAGGTTCGACATTCTAGAAACTGTTGCGTAATTTTTGCTTCTCATATGAATCTACATTCCATATAATTGTTTTAATATTTTTTTGAAAGTATTTTCAATATATATAATTTTATAACTATATAATTTATATATTTCTTTTGAGTAATATAATTTGTTTTTTCTTTTCACTGACATAGTGTAAAATGAAATTTTAGTATTTGTTTACGATAAATAGTGTATCGGTAGCCTTAGTTCTTGTTTTCATCGTCAAACTACACACGTCCTGTTTCGAGTTAGTCGTTCGTAAACACACGTTATACTATGTATAACTTGAAAAGATTAACGTACGTAATACTATGGTAAAAAAACGGATACGTGTTTCTCAATGAAATCGACGTTCGTGGAATTTCCTGTGAAACGTAACAATAGTAAAATAATGAATTATATAAAAATATGAGTAATAAAAAAAATACATGTAACTGTGCCTTAACTAAAATGATTTTTTTTAATAAAACCTTATTTATATAGCCCCTTAATATCAAATCTTTGCACGATTGAAAAAGGTACCTCAAGAAAAGAAAATATTTTTTTAGAATATAAGATATGAAAAAAAATCTTGTTTACGTATAAAATGTTTTTTCATTTCACTTCCGAACCATAAGACGCAAATAACTCGGACTTGTCAATTTTATCGATTACAAATGATGATGGTTTCTCGGAAAAGTTGTTATTTATAAATACTACATATCTGAAATTAGTGGCAGAGGTGTCTGAAGGGTCACGTCAGGGAGAGTTCCCGAAATTGTTCTAGGAACGGAAAATGGATTTATATAATATATAAAACATTGGAACGAATAATAATTTTTAAGTGTACGTTAAAAAATATTGATATTTAAGACTTCACGATTAACATTGAAATAAAACTAATATTTTTCATATTTACTAAAAATTTATAATTATTTCAAACTACATACTCCCGACGTTTCGGTTAATTTGCAGCAACCGTGATCACAGACAGACGAGATGAGAAAACCATTATGTTATTGTAACGTTTTTTTTAAACTAGATTTTTCCTATATCACTGTAAGCTTACCATTTGTTTGTAACATCAAGACCGATAGTTTTCCATTTTTATTAATATATTTACGTTGTTACTGTGTGTAGAGAGTTATGAATGAGAAACTAATATAAGTGTTATGCTTTAAGCTATACGAGCAGTCACGTGGTGTAACTATTTATAGATGAGGTTTCCTTCCGCTGGCTCTGAGAATAATCTCATTGTATTTTTCGATACACATATTCATATAATATGTACCTGGTTATTTGAGTTGAAACAGCAATATTTTTATCTATAGAAAATATATATTGTATCGTACAAAACAATATCATAAGATCTTTAAATAAATTAAGAGTATATAAAAAATATTCAAGCGATCTATAAATTTCAAAAAACATGACAAATATTTAATGGTTAATCTGACGGTAGTTTTTTTATTGTTTTATTATTTTTTATAGTTCTCATATTATTGATACATATAAGTCAATTTCAATTATCTTTTATATTTATAAACTATGAAGTGATAGTCCGATAGCATTACTAATAGTCTTCGTGACTTACAGTCTTAAAGAAACTAGACTATAAAGGGTGACTGGTGAATTACTATCAATATTTAAGGAGCGTACTCGGTACATGATTCTCATCCGAATTATGTAAAAAAAATAGGTACTTAATTTTTGACCAAATTTCCGTATAAATAAATAAAGTGTGTAAACGTTCCAAGTGTTCCGAGTGTGGGCGTGTGCGGCGGCGTGCTGATACAACACCACGCCGCCGCCGCGTCTGTGTGTGTGTGTGTGTATACCTATTCTGTAGGGTGTTCATACGATGCGTAATTAATTACATAACTTTTGGTTAACTTTACTTAGAAGTTTATTAATATTTATGTTATATTAATTTTTATTTTGTCATATATGATCGTCAAATATCACGTCCTCAAATATCGATAGTAATTCACCAGTCACCCTGTATAAATTATGGCCAGTTGGGGCTAACCACACTTAACTAATCCTAATATTATTTTTAATGAAAATTGTTCAAATGATCATAATTTATTTTCATCATTAATCACAATTTATTAAAAAAAGGTATTTTTATTTACCTTTCATATAGAAATTGTCGAAATTCATTTCTAAACTAAAAATCGCTAGAGAAATCTTTTTAGTTAATCCACCAGTACAAAATTTGAAAGAACTTACTGTGACAGATTTTTTTTTACAAAACCGAATCGTAGAGACTGAGCAGAATTTTTTTGAAAAAAAACGAAGCGTAGACACAGAATGGCTGAACATAAAATGAAATACCATTCCTTCAATACATTTACCTTCGGTTTTTACATATATATATGTATATTCGTATTTTTAACTATCTATATTAGTCACAAAAAAATCTCTCGTAAATCGTCTCATCCATTTAATTCCGAGTCAAATAAACTCTTAGATTATTCAGCATAAAATTCTGTAGCATCTTAATCCCAAGGCGTGTGAAATGATCTCAATAGCTCCGATCTCTGCATAATTTAAGTGCCTATAATGTTGAAAACTCCAACCAACTCGAATCATGTAGGGCCAATTAGGTTACATGAAGAGCCATTACACAATCAAACTAGTCTTAGTTCGAGAACTCTAGAGGATTTTATGAATTCATAATTAACTACCCTCATTGTTGTACGAATAATGTAAAAAGTTATTTTTTTATTATAATGCGAGTGTAATAATTAATATTATGTTCGTCGAATGAAAAATCTCTCGTGAAACACTCAACATTTTTTAATGAATGAGGTTTCTCTAGTTTTAAAGCCGCATTTGAATCTCTTTGACCTGCTATATACGTTATATTATGGAAGCATTCAGATTTCAGTATAACGAGAACTGACGTAAAAAATATCTCAGCTTTGTTTTTTATTCATGCCCACTTGTGTCGGATACTTTTATGGCTTTGAATCCTTTTTTGTATTTAAAATAAACATTTCTAATCTTCTTAATGGCTGTTTTTTATTATTTTCTGTATTTTCCTAACATTGCATCATTTTCGTTTTGCATGTTTACAGACTCAGATATTTTAATTAATTTCGTGTAAGACGTTTTTTGTATTTATTTTCATATTTAAATATATATTGAGACGGAGTTTATGTTAATGTGATAGTCAATATATTACACAACGATCTTTTAACATTATATTATTGGAATTGAGATTATAAAACTTTTATTCAAGATAAAATATTATTACTTGTACCATAGAAGTGCGTAGTTAAAAATATCTCAAGGTTAACTTATAAATTTCAATGACATTGTGAAACTAAATTTAAAATATAACAATGCAGTTAAAAAACTGCGTCTTTAAATAGAGAAATTACCTACTAGATTTTATTTTTTTTAGCCAACTATGTGTTACTCCGACACTCTAACAACTTACTACCGGTTTTTTTGAGTCATCGACTAACATACATACAATTAGTAAAAGCTTTATATTATATAGTTAATTTTGTACCAGGTCGTTGGCGTGGCTCACTGTACCAAGTCACTGTTCTCTCAACCACTGGCCATAACGCTGCAGAGCGGCAAGTTCATTATCAGAGAATATGGCAGATATATACTGGTAAGATAACATGTAGCTCCCAGTATATGAATATTTAGAATTGATTTTCTCTTAAGTACGATTTAGTTCCTATTACATATTGAATATTATCGTGATGGCTAGTGGTTAAAGACCCGCTCGTGCATGAGGGCGCGGGTTCGAAACCTGGAAAGTACCAATGATTGTTCCGAGTCATATGTGCTTTCTGAGAGTATTTAGACACCATTGAGGCCTCGGCCTCGAATCTCGCGGGTAGCGGGGCGGCAGCGGCGGCGGCACGAAAACGCATACATTTCTCCGTGCCCGTTGCCCGCTAGTTTGGAGAATAGTATGCGTTTTCGTGCCGCCGCCGCTGCCGCCCCGCTACCCGCGAGATTCGAGGCCGAGGCCTGACACATGAAGGAAAACATCGTGAGGAAATCTGGACTTATAACTTCCAATTATAAGTTTGAAATCACCAACCCGTCTTGAGCAAGCGTGGTAAATAATGCTCAAACCTTCTCCATGTGAGGGTGGCCTTTGCTCAGCAATTAGACTCTGATAGGCTGATGACGAAGATGTATTGAATGCACCTACTTATCTAGTATTCAGTATCGTATATATTGTAGGCTATAGGCAGCGACAGAAACATCCCCGACTGGGTGTTGAAGAACCGCGCCAGTCTCCTCACCTCCATGATAAGAGTGTATCACAGGGATCTACAAACGCTAGCTGACGCTATGGAAGACAGCCGCCGCCTGGCTGAGAAGATGTACCAGATATTTGAGACCTACCTACCTGTATTACAATACGGATGTCATATATTCCAACGAGTGCCCATGCTGAGTCTACCAAAGGTAATTAATAATTAATTAGATATTTATTTTATCTGTAAGGGAAACTAATATTTTTAGGTTACATAGTCCCGACGTTTCGGTCGCGTTAGAAACCATGATTACGAGCAGACGAGAAAAAAATTGATCATGTTTTTAGTTTAAATATGAAAAACACGTATAGTACATTCGAAAATATTAGTTTCATTCAAATGAATACTCGCAAATCCTTAGATTTCATTAAATAATAATATTTAATTTATTTTTATTGTATTGAAAGTTTTGTAAATAAAATATGTGGTTGATAGACGAGTTATTTCGTTTTTTAGGTCAGCATTCAAGTCCTCGGGGGAAGCTAAATTATTATTGATTCCTGATATTTAAACTTTAATCCATAGAAACGAATGTCTCTTTTTTTCTAACTATATTTTTAATTCGTAAATGATATGTAAAAAAGATTCCTAAAATAAACAGCTTGCTTTTAACTTCTCTTTTTATAAATCGCGAACAGAAACTCGTTTTTTGAATATTCGTTGCTTGTACATACTTTAAAATATTTTACATCTCTTAAATACACGAATGTGTTTAGCTTTGAAAAGTAACACATCATTTTAGGTCAGAGTCATTAACAGATCTTGTTCTGACGAATATACAAAAAAACAGTTCTTACAAGAAAAAAATATTCTACTATTAAATTTAAATATCAGAAAAAATATATTTTTTTAAATAAGAATTGTATTCTAACTTTGACTTAGTCGTCAAACTAAACAAATCCTAAATCTAATATCTAATATCCAATCATAAATGTTATAAACAGGAAAAACGTTAAACTGTAAGTATCTAGTTTGCCGTTCAGACTAGTGGTAGGTGTACGTATTATAGTTGAACTATCAGCCAGTTATCGAAACCGATGCTGTAATTTCAAGAGTTTGTATACACTGTAATGTTTATTATCAGTTATCAATGTTCGCTCCCGATAATAATAACATTACCTACACCAATACCAACTAAATAGTCACTTTAAATTTACTTCTAATAAGTACATAATTCTTTTATTTTTGATATAATTTTCATTATATATTGTATAACGATGACAATATGATTATTTGCCTTATTTCTAAAAACTAGGTAATTTATTTGGTGGGTTTTTCTGAAGAAACTTTCCACTCAAGGATAGTTCTAGAATAATTGCTCTTAGAATCAATAAAAGAAATCTTTTAGCACTTATTGGGACCTTACTTTTCTTGAGTCACAATTTTGATCGAATTTCGTTCGAAATTATATAATACAAGTAAATTTTATTATAATTTAACCTGTATAAGGTTAATAACGTGTAATCTCAGGTCTACTTGTATATTTTGACCTCATGAACTTTGTATGTAGCAGTACACGTGATAGCATTCCATTAACATGTAACAAGATTAGCACCAATTGGATTACCAGACGTCTAGTAACGAGGCTCGCTTATAAATTTATTCAATACATATCAAATTATTTGATGATTATTTTGAAATAGACTTTACCATAATATATATGAATAATATATTATGGTAATACCATGTTTTTTTTATACTTTTACCTTTTCCTTGGTTTTATAGTTAGAAATTTGGAGCCGTTTAAAAATAATTTTAATTTAAAAATCTATTCTAAAAGCACAAAATATATCTAAATTATTAAAAAAACATTCTGTACGTATATTCAGTTGGATCTAATATACATGTGTATAAATTTAATTTTCAGAGTGCTACATCAGTGTATATGGAATCCATGCAGATATTGGAACACTGCAGACGGAGTAGAGGCGTGCTGGGAGGCGTTATACTATATAATAATAAGTAAACGACATTATATACAGAATATTATTTGTATTATAACGTGTTGTTGAACTTAATATTCGTTTCAGAATAATCTCCACTCAACTCCCTCCAAGTCTGACCTCATATTTAACAGTAGTGGACCCGTATAGGATTAAATCACCGGCTGAAAATTTGGAGACGAAAGTCCCTTTACCGCTTGGAGCTCAGCTGTTAGTGGTTTACGTGGGAAAGAAAACATATTACAATTTGAAGAAACAAGCTGACAAACTACAAGAGTTCTACCAGAAAGGAGAGGAAATGATTGCTAGATTCAAGAAGGTGATCGATCTGTTTCATTTTTGGAAATTTGACCTTGAAAAATTGCATATTTATATGTATAAAAAAAAACCAGTAATTCAAAGTATAATCTCGTTTGCAATTAAGATAACATAATCAAGTATTCTATTTATAGTTCTGAGATAAATTTAATTTATATGCATCGTTCTGTTTATTTTGGTCCACAGATGCAAGAGGCGGAAAGAGAGAGAGTTCGTGATCATCCTCAATCGGGAATGAAGAGGGATAAGTCGTTACTGTTCACAGCTGTGCCTGAAGAAGATCATACCATGATATCACCACCGAATAAAGAAGGTTCTGTGCCACGGAAACCGAGCATGCCTGATGTAGTACCATTTACGAATAAACCTAGGCCTAGACCTAACAAATTATCGCTTACATTCAAAACACAGAAGAGTTTAGACGAGGATGTTAAAGAGAATGAAATTACCGAGAAAGTGTTTACCGGACAGACGAGCGTCGTGTCAACACCTATGGTGGAATATAAACGTTTACACGGAAACATGCTATCCATATGTCAAAACCCTGATGCTGATGAGAAACTGGAAATAGAACCTGATGTTGTTAAAATAGATAGTTTGAAATCTACCGAGAAGAGAGATAGAGTGTTAGATAGTAATAGTATTGGAGAACACTTTATTAATAAACCGGAGCCTATACGGAAGTTAGCGAGCGTTACGGACTTACAAGAGACGTTTAGAAAATTGTCGACAAGAGCTTCTTCTAATATGAAGCTTAAAAGATCTAAGATAGAAGACGAAACAACACCCTCCCCGGAAAGCAAAGGACAGAACACAATGACAATCAACGATCCATTATTCCCGGTTTTCAGAAACGACGGCGTCGCTATATCCGAATCGCTCTTCAATCAGTATCTAGAACAGTATTATTCCGGTATTAAACATTCCAAGGAGAACAGCGTGTTTAATTTTAATCTTAAGTTAGGCGAGTTAGACAAGTTTAAAGATTTCGATTCGGAATTAATGAAGTCTCCGCAGAGAACACCTAAAAGGGTAGCGAAGGATTCAAACACAGTTCAAACGGACCAGTCGAGGCGGAAAACGCTGTCCTTACCTTTAAAGTCGCTCTCGGAAAGTACAGAGACACAGATAAATACGGATTCAGATACAATGAGTTTTAAGAAGAAATTATCTGGAGTACAACTGACGCCGTTGATGGAGAAGCTGAGCCATTTAGCGTTCTCAGACAAGTCGAGCGGATATAGCAGCAGAGTCATGACTCCCTTGGAAATAAGAGAGTTACTCACACCGGCCTTGGACAAACAAGTCAACTTCACTGAAAGGTACGTAACATATCTAAACACTTATGATTTATCGGCTCCCGAATCTAATTTTCAAAGTCGGATTTACTTCCAGTAATGTCATACAAAATGGCTGAAGCCAGTATTTAGTTTTCAAATACAGATTGACATTTAAATGTTGCCAAGATATTGCAATGGTTCAGAATTATAATTAATAATCATTCTAAGCATTTTATGTATAACTAGCTGCCCGGCAGACTTCGTACCGCCCTGTAATGAAGAAATATCTGTAACCTTTTTATCTGAATGAAGTTAATTTCCTTATTCCTCAATGGAGTTTTCACTTTCCACTTTTACATACATATCAACAGCATATTGGTGACAGAGATGCTAACATATTCTTCTTGTGTATATTGTGTATCGTGTAAACTGCAAACTGTATAGTGTAAACTGCAAACTGTATCGTGTAAATTGCAAACTGTATCGTGTAAACGGCAAACTGTATCGTGTAAACTTCAAACTGTATCGTGTAAACTGCAAACTGTATCGTGTATCGTGTAAACTGCAAACTGTACCGTGTAAACTGCAAATGTGTTTGGAATGGTTTAGATTCACAATTTTGGGAATGGTTTAGATTCACAATTTTGTCCGCTGGACAATGTTTTTTTAATTTATTAGTAGTTGTTGATACCAACGTTTTTGACATTAGATTTGAAAACTAACTAATATGTCAATCACTCTGTCGCACTTCAAAACACGGAGATTTATGGCTTTTATAGGTAAACTCCAAAAATGTAAATAAAAAAACGTAACAGATATTTCTTGATTATAGGGCGATACGAAGTCCGCCGGGTCTTCTAGTATATATACGTGTGTGTGTGTTTATTCAGGAAGCGGTCCCGCCTAGAAGACAGTTCCGAGTCGGAGTCAGACGGCGAGTGTGACGTGGACTCTCTCCCCACCTATAGCTCTCAGTCCGTGAGGTGCGCGCTGTTCGTGAGCGGACTACACAACATGGCGCTGCTCGAACTACTAGATCTGGATGCCGCTGATGACACACAGACCATCAACACGCTCGTCAGTATAACAATACGTTAGATACATATTTGTGCTGTATTAAGTCTGTATAGTTCTATTTAAAGACGAATACCTATATACTTTGATTTCAGTTACTAATAGTTCAGTTGTGCTATAATATTTAAAATCAGCTGTTCTTGAAGTATTTGCTTTATCGTCTCAAATTGTAATAATCTTGAAATCACCTTGAATCTTATAGGAATCTATACTTCTGGAAATATTAACTCTGCTTAATAGTAATGTTTTATTTAGTCTGTGAAAGTCATACATAGATTCCAATATTTGTAGTATACAGACTTCATTACCTCCTGATGATATTTCACGTATATATTATAATGTTTCAGTGGGAAGCTTCTCTAAACGCTCTGGGTCCGATCGAGCAGAAGTGTATGGAGCCGCCAGCCGCCGAGCCAGACTCGTCTGACTATAGTTATCTATTGCTGGACCCCGACTGGGGCACCGTCAAGAAGGGCGGCCCGTGGGCGGCCTTGGACATCGCCACCATGGGCTACATACATAACGAGTTCGAGGAACAACCGGATTTAACTGAGTTCATATTACGGTGAGTGAATGCTGATACTGTGTCGTAATATGCCAACCCATCTAAACTATGTACGAATGTTAAACAAAAAGTGTTAATAATCGCTAATGTACTACCTAAATAGAAAAAATGTGGCCACTGCATTTAAAGAATGTATGAAACTAAACGTTAGCACATGTGTCCTATAAAAATTTCAGCTTAGTCTTCTTAATGTACCATTATGTGTTAAACCGCTTGCCTAGTTTCAGTAAGAACTTAGTGCTAGCAGTATACTACATTAGTATATGTTTGTGAGCAGGAGTGAGGACAGCGTGGTACTGGGCGCCAGCTGCGGCCGTGCGCAGGTGTTCTACCAGGAGAGCGGAGCGCGCGCCCCCGGGCCTCCGCCCCCCTCCGACCTGCTGGCCGCAGCCCCGCTCCGGGCGCGCCGCCGGCTCCACAGAGACCACTCCACACTCATACTGTAGATCGTCTTCAGGATGTTGTTATTGGAACTGTTAGATACGATTTTTTTATACGGAACTGGCGTTTGTAACTTGTGCAATTTAACTTTATTTATATTATTATTATTCGTGAAGAGAAGTTTCGTTTTTCCGTCGTGTTAAGTGAATGTGTTATTGTTTCATACAACGCAGTGTTTCGTTCTCGTACACATTTGATTTGATAACATCTAATCGATTCTGTTCTTTGATATTTTATCGTCGCGCTACTTGTCGAACTGTTGTTGTTGCTGACAATATAAGAGGTGCAGTATTTAAAATAAGATTCGGGCAAAAGATGCATTTGTAAACGTTTGTTTTACATAATATTACACTGAGCGTCGCCATTAATGGAGATGCTGCAATTTCAACCAGAACTCGGGATTTAAGAGCATTAGATATTATGTAACCACCTAGTCTGTTAGAAATTTTGTTTTTTAAATTTAACTCGTAGTGAAGTAAAGTGTAGTTCTTGCGATTTCTAGATTATTATTGAAGTAAAAAATAGACTTAGTTGTAAAGTCGACCTTCTCGTAATGAAAGTAGAGACTAGATGTAGTTTTTCTTCGAAGGTAACACAATCGTAGTTGTAATTTCACTTTAAATGTCAATATCAAAATATTTCAAGTCAGTTGCTATCTTTGAGCAAAATCTCCAATGTACCTAAATTATAGAGAACGAGAAATATTTGTTTTGATAGTCCAATATGAATCAGCAGTCTAAGAATTTTTGCCATTTTTCCTAGTTAGTAGTCGGTAGTCAAGTTTACAGGAGCGATACATATCTTTGAATCCATCGTTAAAACAAATAATAAGATGCTAAATATTATTTGCTACAAGATAGCAGGTTTGCCAACTGTGACAAGTCAAATTTACATTCAGCCGTAAACAAATATTACAAAATGTTTTGTCGGTTCGATAAATATTACAACTTTAAACTTTTTTCATGGTTAATCTATGACGAAAGAATGTAAATTTGACGGAATCTATTCCACCCATTTTGATTACTCTAATCTGCGTAGATAATAGTAGTAAAACTAAATTATTTATCTTCTACGCTCAGTAATCTTGCCACTAGTTAGTAAGTCTCCGGCCACGTAGTATGTATTTTGCTAGTCTATGCTCAATTTTGCCATACCATATATTAGAGCACCGTCTAAGGCCATATTTTAAATCCTTATTTTTGTATGTACCTGTTTTATTTTAAGGCTTACATATTAAAAAGCTTAATATTTGTACTCGTTTAAAAAGAAGAGAAGATCCATAGTTGCTGAGTAACGATTGAAATAAAATCGGTTTTTCATATAACTTTCTTATTTTTGGAGGTTTGATAGAAACTTCTCCGATTAATTTGTTAAGATCGCTTGTGTGTCCTCGGTCGTAGGTCGATGTTAAATTGAATTATTTCTATTTATTTATATTATAAATGACATAAGATAACTTTATTATAACCATCGACCTCGTCGGGGTCCGTTCGGCTGTACTTCTATACTTGTAGTAGGTACTTACCGTCAACACTGCATTCCGTTCGCTTTCAATCAACGAATGTACAAATCAATGCATATTATATTCCGTGTCGTCCAGAACCAACAATGCTACCGTTTGTATCCGTAGTATTCGTTTTTACTGTACATTGTGTTTATTATCGTTATAGTTTTATATTCTATATTTTTATCGATCTCTAGTGTACTGCGGATAGCGTTAAAGGGTGCCAATGCGTCAAATGTTGTATTTATTTATAATTATACATAAACATAGTATTAAGATTTTAATAAACCCGATAGTGAGATTTTGTTAATTGTACGCCAGTGTAATAAATATATCCCATAAAATATATACGTCTTTTACTATATAATATATAACAATTATCAAACTACCCTACGGATACCGCTACTTGTCAAGACGGATGAAAGGTCAACAGCGCGCTATACGTGCTCGTTTAAAAAAAATACGTTAAAAACGTAAATATAAACTTTTTATAGTGCTCTTTTCATAACAGTCATCTTGATCTCAAACATTTCAACTTTGACAAAAACTATTCAATTAGATTGATTAAATTAACATTTACTACGCGCATTTGATTTTAATATGAGTATTAATAAAAGTTTTAACCAGTTTCTTTTACAATAACTAATCTCGTAAGCATCATATGGCGCGCTCTGACAGCACAGGACAGAAATGGATAAGACTAGGTAGGAGATATTAAAATGAATGAAGAAGAATCACTCGTGACATTATAAAACTAACATTTTATTAACAAGTCGCTCACAACACAAGTCTACAACTAGTATTACGGTGTTACCAGACTATATCTGACAAATACATATATATACTGTGATTGGATCAAATGCATAAGGATCACCATAATAAAATCTGTACCAAAATACTGTATGTGTGTCGGTCTGTTCGATTTGTAAAGTGTGATAGAGAATATGATCGACTGAGTCTTGAGAGCTTCGGGGGATCATATTCTGTACCCACTGGCCACGCCACTACTGCCACTCCGGCGACCGCTACTGGCAACTGCCGTTTCGAAAGGCCTTTTCAATCAAACATTTTCAAAACTTCAACACAGTTAGTCTTTCAAGGAACTTCATCCTTTACTTCTTGTTTCAATACCTTTTCAAAACAAACAAAATCAATATTAGACTTAGTGTTAGACCTTTATTAAGAGCTAGTTTTACATCCTAGAAGCGACGGTTACGGGCTAACTTACATCTAGACCCTTTTTATCACTCATATATAACATAAACACCGTTTACAATGTCAACGATCATATAGTATTCTATAACCGGCTCGTACAGGTACAATATAAATGCTTAGAGGCCGGTCACATTGGAAGGTGCGTATCAAAATCTACGCTACGTTATGATGGCTCAGCGTCGCGATATTAATACCGACCTGAAAAGTCAAAGAGGGGAGTAACCATGTGACCATTGTTACATTAGCGAGATTAACACCCTTCTATCAATAGCGACATGCATTACATTACAATGACACATGTCCACTCAAGGCTCACAATATTATACAATTGATAAAAAAGTGTCAATATACAGTTTTTAGAAAAATATCACTAACTAAACATATAATTTGGTATAGACAATGACTTGTTTGAATGTGCCAATGTAGAACGCATTCTTTGGGGTACATTACAATACAACGCTAGACAATTAGCGCGGGACACATTAGTTACAATCAATGTTAGGTATCGTTATGAAGACAATGTTTAGTTTTATGAAATATTTACTTGCACTATTATTAAAAAATGTGTGCAATTAGTTTAACACTTTGCAAAGTTTTGAAATCCTTCATACCAATCTACACAAAGTACAGTTTCTCTTATAAAAACTAGTCTTAATGATACACCTACATTACTAACTAAACCAAAGACAGATGGAGTGAAAGGATGTGTCGAAGGAAGACCAGTAAGGCATTGTGTGGGTGGAATCTTAAATGACTATTCATTACGTCTCTAGTTACAATGATCATAGCTAAAAGAACTCTGACATCATATAAATCTTTGATGATGTGAAATTACACCAAAACGTTTATCTAGAAGCGACGACAATTACTGGCCTAACTAGCTGATAGGAAATTTAGTCAAATTATTCTATATACAATAAAACATTGCTGCTCTATAGAGGACCGCGACACAGACTTACAGCTATCGTGTGGACTGGGCCGGGGCGAAAGGACTCAAACATCACTCCCAATGTATAAGATAAGTTTGAAGGCGTCGCGGCGCCACGCTAGGGGTGGTAGTAAGACTTACGCGGCGAGTAGGAGCGCTCGCGGTCGTAGCGCCGCCGGCGGTAGTGCGGCGAGGGCGAGCGGTGCCGGTAGCCGCGCGGGTAGTAGTCGCGCTCGCGCTCGCGGTACCCGCCGCCGCGGTAGTAGTAGTCGCTGTGGGCGGGACTGCAGTTACATATTTTGATTGATAAACACAACTATTGGATGCTCACCGACATCGATGTGAAGGTTTCATGTATTTATGTTATTTTTTTATATAGTTAGATTTATCCAAATAAATGTTTGATTTAGGTAATGAAAATACTTTAAAAGACAACCTTGACCACATTGACATTTCAAATACTATATCTTATCTAAAAATAAAGCCAAAAGAAATAAGTATGTATGTATGGACATCTCAGTCTAAAGAATAAAGCAATTTCGACCATTTATTTTTAACATTTTTGACGTCATAGTAAATATACTATGACTTAGGGCTGATTTTTTTGAAGTCAATTTTCTCTTTCTTTGATAATACCCATTAAATGTCTATTGAATATATTAACAAAGCATACAGGACACTGTGACACTTACTCTCTGTCCCTGCGTCTATCGTAGCCGTTATCTCCTCGTACACTGAAAATAAAAAGAAAATTCATGAGTATGTACATCAAAATGTTTATATTTTAGGTACATTGAATGGAAATTACAATATGTATGAACAGGCCTTTAATGAGTTGACTTATCTCTTAGACAGCTCACTCTAAATCTACTCAGTTTAGTCTACCAACACTAAGGATACTTGCAAATAAAACTTTGCAGGCATTTTCTATGTTGGAAATTAATAATTGACTAATATGCACATAAGATTTGTTCCCTTTTTTTAATTATTTACTTCGAGTGTTTTATAAGTAGCAATTTAAAATCTTAACAGACAAGTCTGTCGCTTTCGCATGTATATACATGCAAAATGTAAGCTGTTTCCAGAAACCAATCATATGTCATGATAATAAGAAATATATTATAGACATTTATGTATACATAATTTAACATCATTTATTCATTCGTAATTCTCATTTTAATATTCAAGCATACAATTTAATACAAATCTTTTCACAAATTTCAGAGCTACAAAATGTGTTCGTGTTCTATGTAGTCTATGTCGTATATATATAATTGTTCAGAGTAATGTGTACAGAGTAGTTTATCCGTATACAATACATACTGCGTGGGTTTCCCCATGTATATCCCGGGTGTGGGTGTGTGCGCCCTCTGTGTGATGGAGTAGTCTACTCGTATGCGCCGTCCGTCTATCTCCATGCCGGTACACTCGTTCTTCGCCACCTTAGCGTCGTCCTGGGACTCGAAATACACGAAGCAAAAACCGCGGGAGCGTCCAGTCTATAAATTATTGTGATATTTTCTATTATATATAATATTATATCTTAAGAATGTAATAGTTGGATTAATTTTAAAGCATTTTACGTAAATATAAGAAGTCGCACATTAATGCGAAATGCTATTTGAAATTATTAAAAAATATATGTATGATGTCTTAAGTGTTTTTAAAAGATTATTATAACAAAAAGTAATTGTACATTTTTTTTTAATTTCTATGGATCATTAGAGTAATGAAAATTTATTTACTTTAGAAACTAATTTTTACACTAAAATTACAAACTTGTAATATATTTTCTATTATATAATGATAAAGAACAAACATTCTTTTATCTGTGTTTTTCTTTTGGTCGTTCCTCGTTTTGGAGATCTTACCTTGGCGTCAATGACAACTTGAACTTTGTCAACTGGTCCAAATTTTGAAAATATGTGATGAATTTGTTGTTCAGTAGTGTAGAGACTGAGGCCGAACACTCCGAGACATCTCGATGGCGTAGGATTTTCCTGTTGATAATTTTGACAAATATCTACATTTTTATATAATACATTTTTTAAAACTACTCAGTTACTGTATTTATTTATGAAAATTTACGATTGATATTAAAAAAATATGACCTCAATAACTAAAAATACAAATAAATGAATGAATAACTAGAAAACTAACTTTTTAAGAAACAAATAAAAACAAAAAAGTGTAAGTACTTAAAACTAATGTGTAGGAATTTTAAATACGACTAATAAACTAACTTTTTGAGAAACAAAAAAAAGGGAACTTAAAACTAGTGTGTAGGAATTTTAAAAAAGACAACTAGTTCCTTTCAGTATGTAAAATAAAATGTAATAAACAGAAAATTAACTAACTTTGTTGAATAAAAATAAAATCTAATATGTATATTTCTGAAAGAAACTGCATAGCGTTTAATTTAAAAAACCTATTATAAATATCAAAAAAGTGTCTGTACCAAAAGCCTCACCCGATCACCGAGATGCCGTCTACGTGACGACATCGGGCTATGCGAGTGTGAGCGGCGGTAGGAGCCGCGCGGGGAGTACGAGCGGGAGCGGGAGCGCGAGTAGCGGCTGGCGCGGTAGCGGCGCGCCGAGCCCGACCTCGAGCGGGACCTGGCAATATATGAGCTAGGTTAGAACAAGTAATATTTATTAGTATAGTGTTATTCATCGCCCGCTCCTTTACAGACAGATGGGTCAAGCGAGCAAACATTTGGAAGGGCCCAGGAGATCCATGAGTAAAAAGAAAAAAGAGCAGACCAACAGCTCGCTGGGCCGACGACATACTAGAGAAGTGGCAGGAAGAAACTGGTTGAAAACAGATACAGACAAGAACAAATGGAGGCAACTGAGGAGGCCTATACCCGAAAGGGGCCATAACATACTTATAATATTTACATATACTTAATGTTCTTTTTCTAACGGTAAGCGAGGTTTTTGGATTAATAAAGGCTTTATTATTATAGTGTTATTCAATCTGTGGGTTGCGACCCCTAGGGGGTTCGCTTGGACTTATTCAGGGGGTCACTGGCAAAAGGAAAAGTTCTACACTACAATAAAAACCAATGTTTAATGAGAAGGATTTGCTTGCTTATACATATCAAAATGTGGTGCTATTTTTGAAATATCTATCAAATCAACTTGTAATTGAAGTGTTTCTCCTTTTTGTTTTGTTTACAACCTTAACCTGTCTTAAGACTTTTAATTTAAGAATTTCCTTGCCTATCTATGGCACAAGGGGGTTGAAGTTTTTTGTTAACCCATAAAGGGGTTGCAATATCAAAAAGATTGAAGAACATTAGTATACACACTTCACTTATAGAGAATGTTGGAGTTAACCGATATAGACAACATACAAGCAATGTCTACAACAAATATTATTATACATTGGGAATATTCTATAAAATAGCACATCAAGATCGGCTGCATTGGTTGATAATAGTTATAGACACATTCAACTTCCATTGTTATTTACTTTGACTAGGTATATCAAAGTGATATGTTTAATTAAGTTACAGATTTTATTGAGAGAAAAGTGATAGAACATTGAAAATTAAAAAAAAGTTTATTTACAGAGATGGGATAATTTGGTTTTTTAATTAATTTGCATATTCATCTCTTGAAAAAAATTTAGTTTTCAAAATATCTGATTGCAGAATTTAAACAATCCCAAAAACTTTTAAAGAAAGATTTCCTAAATACTTGGAAAGTATTATTAGTATTGACTCTTTAATTTACTTTGAAAAACAAAATTCATTAATAATCACCTAGACAAACTTTTATAATTAGATAATTACATATAATTAATGAAGATAATTAACAAATTATTAAAAATCCAGAACTACATATTGATATCATTTGAAGTCTACTAAATTATATTTGACCTTTTTAAAACTTTGTTATATTCATCACTACTAAACTTTAATTATAATAATATTACATGAATTTCTTGTTAATGCAATTTTACAAAATATTTCTATAATACAAATAATATGTAAGTTATTTTGCATATATTACAACTCTGGAGACTGGAGAGCTAAATTAAACTAAATTCCATGACAACCAAAATTAAGGGGAAACAAAATATTATAATCTATTATCAAAACGGTCACAGGAAATACATTTATGAATTTTTCTGAACATAAATATGAAACTACAAACCGTTAAATGGATATTATTGAATTCAGTCAACCATAAAATTGCTTATCAGTACTCCCTACACAGTGTTTATTGATAAAACAGTTGCTATCGACACTTATTGACAAAACTGTTATTCAAATAGCAATATGGACAATGTATATAATTACTGTAATATTATTTTAATTATCTATGTAGCGTAATTATTTCAATATTCTAAACATTTGACACTAAAATTCTGAACGTAATTGAAAACAATTTGAAAAATAATTATTTTAATGTATGGAAGTTGATTTGTAGATAAACGAAAAACTGTTTAAAATTCGATCACACAATTGACATTTTCAAGGATGAAACGATTTATAGTTTTGTATGTTTTTTTTTTATTGCGCAATCCGAGTCGCCTTGACAGCGAGGTTATGCCGAAGTTAGTAATAAAAAAATGTTGCAAATAAACCTTGAACTATGTATAATCATCAGATGCGTAGAATTGGGAAAGATGTTATTGAATATACGTACGGGCTTCTGTACTTCCTACTGGACGCTTTTGGCGGGGGAGGCGTGCGCGACCGGCTTCGGCTATGGCCACGAGACATGACCGCAGGCTTTGGTGCCGGCTCCCTAGACCCGTTGCGGGTCCTCGAGCGGCTCCTCTGTAACCACCGAGAACAATTTATGGTGAATAAAGCTTCACCGGCAAAGTACGACTATAGCGCACGAGGAGCGAAATCCAATAGTTTAATAATAGTACCTCTCTGTCTGACATGATGAGTACTTAAAATAAACAAGGAACGATTAGCGATTAACACTCAATCAATCTAATTATAAATGAAGATTCCTAATATATAAATCACACGAGCACACTACAACGCGGTTCTGGCAAAGAAAACAAAATGGCGTCTATCAAAAAACTATCATGACGTGATGCGAAGTTACGGCGCCAAATCGCCGGCATTTCAAATTCAAATGCAGAATAGTCACAGATAAAAAATATTTTATTAATTAAGAAGAATTTATTTCTATATTTTAAAATAATAATAAAATATCATAAAAATTAAGTTGTCACCATAGAAAGATTTCTTATAAAGATAACTTCTTAGAAAAAGTAATAAATAAAGTTTTTCCTCCATATGAACACTTTGTTTGCACAACTTTCTCACATTTTTTTAAATATTAAGTTAAAATAAAATGATAACAATATATTAAAACTTTATTAACCCTTTGCTTTCTTTCTAGTACCGATCGATAATATCATTTTGATCTTTCAAAAGTAATTGTCAGTGTCAAGTAATTGCCGACTCGTGGAAGACGGAATGACAAATCTCAACTAGTGTCTTCTGGTGTGGTCGTAAATGTGTAGTGAATTCGAATGAATAGGAATTTATTATTTCTCTAAATCATGACTGATAACGAATCCCAAAATGGTCCGGCTGGGGACCAGCCCCAGGAAAAAACAGCAAAACAACTTGAGAAAGAAGCGAAAAAGGCAGCGAAGCTAGAGAAACTTAAAGCAAAATTGGACAAAAAATCTTCTGCGCCAGCTGGGCAGAAAGATAAGCCAGAGGTTATTAATTTTATTTTTTAATGTTTTAGTATTATTTTACAATAACAGGCTGTATAACATTCAGTCATATAAAATTATTAAAAAAAGACATTAATACATGACATTATTTATTCAGCTTCAGTTTAATTTAAAGTGAGAGTGAAAGGAATTTATACTTTGTTGTAAATTGCATCACTCTTTATCTAATTACGAGAAATCGTATTAATTTTTTTTCTTGTGAAAGTGTTTAAATTTAATCAAGTACCTTATATTCTTCAATGAAAATTATTTTTACAAAATTTTACGAATGGCAAATCTTGTGGCAACCATAACAGAAATAAAGAATTTGTCTTGGTTTTTTTTTTTATCCTTGATATATTCTTATCAAACACAAAAAAATATCATGCAATAAATTTTTAAATTTTTTAAATGTTTGCAAATTAATTAACAATTGTTTTGGGAATGTATATAATTCAAATACATTGTTTAAAACGGCCATAAGTTTGTAAATTTTACATTTATACATATATAAATACAATATATTTTAAACTAATAATAAAATAATATAAATATCAAACACTATTAAAATCATAATTATCACTATTTGATTTTTTGAAATGTGTGTTTTGTGTATTTGTAATTTCGTTCAGAATTATATTTCCATAATTCCAAAGTAATTTTTTTCTGTCATACATATAGAAAAAAACAAAAGAAGTAAAAGAGAGTGCTGTGTACACAGCGAATACTGCACCAGGTGATAAGAAAGATCTATCGGGAGTTATGCCGGACTCATACAGTCCGAGGTTTGTGGAGGCCGCGTGGTATTCATGGTGGGAGAAGCAGGGATTCTTTAAACCTGAATATGGGGTGAGTTTGAATTATATGAGACGAAACCTCTTAGCATTCAATGTATTCACTGTGCGAGTGTCGGGTCCATCGTTACAGTGAGAGGAGCTTCAACAGTGTCTGGGACTTGCGACCCAGGTGTAGGTTTCAATATATTCTGTGGCTTCCGAAGTTGTTTAATATTGATCAAAGTTGTTAGGAATGTGACTATGTTCTGGTTATATAGTTATAGTCGGAGTATAAATGTGTAGATGAGCTTTTATCCATTCTTCAACTCTTCATTCTTAGTAGTGATAATGAAATTTCTTAATAGAAATAATGTTGAATTGGGTAAACAGATTTAAGTTTTAAAATGCTTTTAAAGAAAACATAAACCTAGAAGTATTTTAAATTTTCTCAACTTTGATTCATTTTAAAATAGTGATGGGATATTGCAGTAAGAAAAGTGAGGTTTCCTTAAATTGAAAACATTAAGAGGAAAGTATCAGATATGTTTAGACAGTTATTTGTTTAATCTGATCTTTACATACTGCTTTATGTATGTATGTACTCACTTTTCTTATAGCCTCCTTATTGAAACACTAGAGTGGAAACTATAAGGTTTCTTTTATTTTCATTATTTTTAGATTTTCAAAACAATCCATTTACTCTAAATGCAGTACTAATAACTATATTTCAAGTGTGTTACAAAAAAGTAATGGAATTACAATATTTTTTTTTCAGAGGAATTCTGTATTAGATCCAAATCCCAAGGGCAAGTTTGTGATGGTGATCCCACCGCCAAATGTTACAGGCACACTGCATCTTGGACATGCTTTAACAAATTCCGTGGAAGACGCTATCACTAGATGGCACAGGTATGAAGTAAATTTTTAATTTATTATTGTATATTTACATAATTAGGTGAAGACAGTGTATTAAGGTTAACAATTAAAAGTGTAAAGTTTATTAATGGAACAGATTATAGTATTACAATGATCAAAATGTATGTGTATATTTTTTATATAAATAATAAAGCCACCATAAGTGGGGGTCGTAAAAACAATTAGCTAAAACTATTTACAACATGTAAGGCAGACCCTTGCTAAAGCTGGGAAATTGCCAAGTAGAAGAAGAAGATAATATATAAAGTGGCTTTCATTTTAATTTTGTTGTGAGTTTAAGAGATATTACATAAAATCATCATAATATTGTTCCATTGTGAATCAAACTCAGACCTTCAGTTTGAGTTACATTTTGATACATTTATTGTTATTTTATTCCCACAGGATGAATGGTCGCACAACACTCTGGAATCCAGGCTGCGATCACGCTGGTATCGCAACTCAAGTGGTTGTAGAAAAGAAGCTTTGGAGAGAGGAAAAGAAAACTCGGCATGAGCTTGGAAGAGACGAGTTCATTAAGAGAGTGTGGGAGTGGAAAGATGAGTTAGTTTTATTGATTATTTTTTAATACATAGTTTAAAATATAGTTTTGCCTAAGTATGTAATCAGTAATTTATAAAATAAATTAAGTTTATTAAGATGTCATCATAACCATCATTGAGATGATAAATATGAGTCATCACTATGACTTACTAGTCTCAATCCTAACTCACAGTCAGTATAATTAAACAACTAGCTTGAAACTTTATATTGACTCTTTTACAATTGTTGGAGATAACTCAAATATGTCTTTTCAAACTACATATCTTTATATATACATATAATTCTTCTGTGATTGTGTATGTCACTGAACTTCTCTCAAACGACTGGACCGATTTTGATGAAATTTTTTGTGTGTGTTCAAGGGGATCTGGGAATGGTTAAGATTCACAATTTTGTCCGCTGGACAATGTTTTTTTAGTTAATTTTTAATTTATTAGTAGTTGTTGATACAAACGTTTTATTTTTTTGACATTAGATTTGACAACTAACTAATATGTCAATCATTCTGTCGCATTTCAAAACACGGAGATTTATGGCTTTAATAGGTAAACTCCAAAGATATAAATAAAAAAACGTAACAGATGTTTCTTGATTATAGAGAGGTACGAAGTTCGCCGGGTCTTCTAGTATTAGTATATTTCATTGAATAACACATTATTATCAACAGAAAAGGTGTCAGGATCTATGAACAACTCCGGTCTCTCGGTTCATCTTTGGACTGGAGTCGTGTTCGTTTCACCATGGACCCTTCAATGAGTAGGGCTGTCAATGAGGCGTTCATACGTTTACACGACAGTGGCGACATCTACCGTGCGAACAGACTCGTCAACTGGTCATGTGCTTTGAAAAGCGCTATATCTGACATAGAAGTGGATAAAATTGAGCTGCCCGGAAGAACATTCCTGGCTATACCTGGTTATGATGCTAAGGTAATATATTAACTGCTTTTTCAATACTAGATGATGTATTAATTGGTTGATATTTGTCTTATAGACCTGTTACATAAATTTTATTATACATTTTAAATCATGTTACTATTTTCTTTAAAGTAAATATTTGAAATGTGAGTTCAAATATTTTAGTATTGCTCGTTAGTGTAACAGGTCTTCATCACATAGATATATGAAATTGTATATATATATGAAATTGTGTATATATATCCTGGTCCCGGACAAGTACCAATGTAATTTTTCCAAGTCATATGTACTTTCTAAGAGTATTTCGACATCACTGATTCATGCATTCCCAAAGAGGGTTGATGTCAGGCAGGCGGCCGGTCGTAAAAACAATTAGCCAAAACTATTCACAACATATAAGGCAGACCCTGGCTAAAGTTGAGAAATTGACAGGTAGAAGAGGAGATATATGAAATTGATATGTTTGTCAGGTGGAATTTGGTGTGCTGGTGTACTTCGCCTATAGGGCTGAGGATACTGATGAAGAGATAGTAGTGGCGACCACTAGAGTGGAGACTATGCTGGGGGATGTGGCTGTAGCTGTCAACCCTAACGACATCAGGTATGATTTATAAATATTATAAAAAAAAAAATCCAATTTTTTAACCTAATATTAAAAATTAAAATCATCTAGAAAGTCTCGTATTAAATGTATTTGAGTTTGTCTTTTATTCTTTTCGTCTGAAATATAGTTTTTTGTGTTGATATTTTGGGTTTTCTGATACAAATCTTTGATATTTTATAATTCCGACTTTTTTAAATACGTTAATTACTCTGTTTGGATATAATACCACTGAGTTGTTTTTTTTTTTGACGCAATGAGGTCTTAAATATGAAATTTTTCTTCAGTAAATACAAATAAGTCTTATACTATATTCTCACGATAATTATATTATGTGTACTAAATTTCAATTATTATTAAAAATAGAGCTTGTCGAAATCTTATATTCATAACATAAATTATTTTAATAGCTTTAAATAATTATGTATTTTAATATTTTATAATTGTTCCTCAGATACAAACACCTCATCGGGAGGAACCTGCTCCATCCGTTCATCAAACGGAAACTTCCAGTGATAGCTGATGAATATGTAGACATGAACTTTGGAACAGGTGTTGTAACATTTTTCCTAAAATAAAAATAAAATAAATCCCTTCTAATATTATAAATGCGAAAGTAACTCTATCTGTCTGTCTTTTACGCTTTCACGCCTAAACCACTGAACTGATTTTAATGAAATTCGCTACAGAGATAGAGTTGACCCTGAGAAAGAACAGGATAGTTTTTATCCCAGACTTTTGAAAGGTTCTCTTGGAAACGCGATATTACCGAACTCCACGTGGGCGAAGCTACGGGCGGACAGCTAGTTATATATATGTATTGAAATTGAGACCGTATCATTGTTTTCATTAATCAATCTATGTTTTATTCTACTAATATCAGGTGCTGTTAAAATAACTCCCGCCCACGATCCGAACGACTACGAGATCGGTAAGCGACACAAGCTGCCCTTCATCACTGTGTTTGATGATGAGGGAAGAATGACGGACAACTGTGGATACTTTTCTGTGAGTTTGGGCTTTTTTACTTTCCAAATAGTGTCTCTAGATTCTAAGTGAAATGATGACTTAATTGTATGATTATAAGAGAATTCTGTGGCTTTTTGCCAGTTTATTGGCAATGACAAAAAATAATCTTTATTCTAGACAATATTTTGATAGGCTATGCAAATGTTAAAAAAAATTTAGGAGTTGAAGATGGATTTTGTGAAGCGAAAAAGGATATTCCAAAGATTTAATTTAATTAAATTGCTCAGACTATGGTCAGGCCAAAAACTTGCCAATTTCAAACCACCTTTCTATTATCAACTCATAGGCTATGTTACTAACTTTTTATATTTGAATATGTCAGGGAAAGAAGCGCTTTGAAGTTCGCCGCGAGATAATTCAGAGTCTCGAGCATCTGAAGCTTTATAAGGAGACCAAGGATCATGCTATGGTGGTCCCTCTGTGCAGTCGCTCGAAGGATGTAGTGGAACCAATGCTTAGGCCACAGTGGTAAGAATACTTAATACTATTAAATGGTGGGGTTTTTAAACAATTTAAAACATTTATTTTGCTACACACTTACATTACATAGATTATACAGAAGAAAATAATTAAATTTAAAGAATACAGTGTAGGAGCAAGGGGGTTCATCTCAGTATAAGCTGTAATAATGCACAGCACTGATTTTCAGATGGCCCCTGAATATTGGGGCAATTTTTACTTTGGAAACTTGCATTTTACTTCCTTAACTGAAAGGAAAATATTTTTGTTCTATTAGCAAGAAAGAATAGTGAATAATACTTACAGTTTACTTGCAAAAAAGAGAAGATATGTAAATTGTTTGTATTATACTTAATTTTCGTTAAAATTTCATAGAACTTTTCTTTCAAGAAATATATTTTTTTATATTCAATAACCTTCCTGAAATGTTAACTATATAGAAGATGTGTTCATAAGATTAATCTTGAATATTTTCACCAAAGGTATATTCGTTGCGGCAACATGGCAGCGGAAGCGATAAAGGCTGTTAAGAGCGGACAGTTGAAGATTATACCGGATGTTCACGAGAAGTTGTGGTACCACTGGATGGACAACATCCGGGACTGGTGCATCTCCCGCCAGCTGTGGTGGGGACACAGGATACCGGCTTACAAACTACTGGTCACTGAGGTGAGAAACTGTCTAAGGAGACTTATTTATATAGATTCTACTATAGAACTCGAATCATATTCTTTCAATCGCTTCTAGTCCTTCGTCAAGGCTGACAAAACTCTATTTTAACTTGATTAATCGTATATGAATCGTGTGATGATAATAATCACTGAACAAATGAGTTTAAAGCATGTAAACGACGTCCATCGAAATGTGATAAAAGATGTAAACAAACCTTCAGAACTGAACGTGTAATCTGTAATAACAATTGAGAATAATAGAAGAATAATAATATACATAATTAAAAGCAAATTTTAATGTGATTTATATATTTTTATATATTATATTCTCTGTATATAACTATATATGTATATATAATGTAAGGCGGTCCGTCCGCCGCGCTGTCGCCGTCGCCGCACTCGCAGCGGGAAGAGGAAGCGAGCCCGCGCCCGCGCTCTGCCGCCCGTACGTCACTTTGTATATATGTGTACTGGCCTTTAGAGACATATAGAGACCTTGTGTACGCCGCTTTATAGACTACTAGGCCTTCCAAACAGAACTTTGAATTGGATGCACTACAGCAGTTCTATGTTCTCTTTTTAAAATTTCATTTTTTTTTTATTTGAACAAATGGTTTTTTAGGATTGACAGCATATAATTTTATATCGTTTTGAAAAAGTATTTAAGTTTTTTTTTTGTTGTATTATATTTATATATTATTTTTTTTGTAGAAATTTTGTAACTCCATGCTTTTCTGATTTTTAGTGACACAGCTCTGTTTAACATTTTACTAATTTCATGTTAAAATAAATACTCATATGTGTCATATTACCTGATAATATTTTTATATTTCATTTTTTTGTCAGTTTAATTCATTGTGTGCATGCATTTGTGCAACATTTGGCATGAACATGAGAGCATGACAATTTTAACAATATTTTATAGCCATTTATCAATATTCATTATTTTAAGACGAAAACATTTTTTTTTATCGAGACTATTTTTTTATTATAGCATGTTTTTATATATATTTTTCAATCATTTTCTTCTAAACTATAGTGTTTTAAATGAGACTATGTTTAATTAATTATTTACTTCGTGATTTTGTTTTTCAATACTCGCACGGTTAAGTAATCCAAAGCAGTGGCGGCTGGTGGGTTATCGAACTGGTGGTGCACTTTATTAAAACGTTAAATTAGATAATGTAACAAAAAACCAATTGACATAAACTATGTTTATTTATTATACATTAAATCAATGCGACAACATTTTTCTGAAGCGAAATATTCAATCAAATTTTTATTAAAATCGGATATTGTTTGTATACTTATTTTTTTCAATACTAAGCACAGAAAGTGCATTTTGCAAGTGCATGGTATATCGGAAAAAAGTTTTGATTCTTTTCAATTCCAATCCGTCATACATCGGATGCTCTCGGCAATCTTCGGCGGCTCGTGCGGCGCTCGAGAACCGACTCATTACTCGGTACATTTCTATGAACTATCTTTTGTTTCACGCGTCAGGCGTATTAATGCGTATCTCATACAAGATGTATTAGGAGTCCTCGTGCACTCGCCGAAGCGCACGAGATATTAGTTTAGTAAAGCGCACAAACTTTTTGACTATAATTAGAAATTTAATTTTTTATACGTTTTTGTATGTTCAGAAAATAAACATTTAAATGGTATATTTTAAAAATAAAGCTGAAGTATTATTTTGTAATTTTTAAATATTTTGAATTGGTGGTTCAGCGCACGAGTGCACTTAAGGTACAGCCGCCACTGATCCAAAGCAGTGGCGGCTGTACCTTAAGTGCGCCCGTGCGCTGAACCACCAATTCAAAATATTTAAAAATTACAAAATATTATGTCATCTTAATTTTTAAATTACCATTTTAATATTTATTTTTTAAACATACAAAAAGGTATAAAAAATTTAATTTCCAATTATGGTCAAAAAGTTTGAGCGCTTTACTAAACTCATATCGTGCGCTCCGGCGAGTGCACGAGGACTGCTAATACATCTTGTATGAGATACGCGTTAATACGCCTGACGCGTGAGACAAAAGATAGTTCATAGAAATGTACCGAGTAACGAGTCGGTTCTCGAGCGCCGCACGAAGCGGCCGAAGATTACCGAGAGCACCCGATGTATGACGAATTGAGCCGGCCGGCAAGGGGCCGGCCGAAAGGATTTGTGCTATGATTGACATTTCGTTAATCGTTATTGGTATTGTTTCAACTTTCACTGTATGCGTTAATTCGTTATTGTTTATAATTATTTCCGTAATTCGTTTTAGTTTTTATTTCGTTTCTATAATAGAACTTTTATTCTGTACTGTGTTTTTTATTAGTTGAAAATGAGTATAAATATTAATTATATTAAAGAAAATAACAAAATTTTTCAAAGTAAAGTGAACATAAAATTAAATTGTAAATCGAAAAATAAAGCATTTATACGAAGTTTTAAAAGTGAAATGTATAATAGAAAGAAATGGTTGTGTGGATGTGAGCGTCTTAATGCATTCTTTTGTTTTCCTTGCATTATTTTTGGCGGAGAATCGATTTGGACAGAAACTGGAATCAAGGATTTGACGCATTTAAGTGAAAAAATAAAAAACACGATTCTTCACAAGTACACCTACAAAATGTAATGAGTTTGTCTGTGTTAGGCACAGTCGATATTCGTAATCAGCTAGATTCTGTGTATAGAAGTAATATCCAAAAGTATAATAAACAAGTTGATTAAAACAGATACATTTTATCACGTCTTATCGATTGTGTCAAGTTTTGTGGTGCATTTGAGTTAGCTTTGCGAGGTCACGATGAAACTATTGAGTCCAGTAATGCTGGAGTGTTTCGTGGATTAATAGACTTTGTATCAGAGTTGGATATAGTTATGAATTAATGTACAAAAAAAAACATATTTTATGTCAATTGTTGTTTTTGTCAATATTTTAGTAAAGTGAACCACCAGTTCGATAACCCACCAGCCGCCACTGATCCAAAGTATATATTTTTTATTAAATGTTAAATAATAAAAACGCGTATGTAGTAAAATTACAAACATAGTTTTATTTAAGTGTGAAAGTTTTAGATAAATTATAATTATATACAAATAAAAAGAATATTTGTGATACTTTTTGATTGCCTAGCGGCTCACGCATGTATGAAGTTACATATGCTTGTAGAAATTATCAGATTTCATATATTTTTTAGCAAATCTTCGTTTACGATTAAAATATTCTAAAAGTCAAATAATTTACATGAAACTATTTTCGGTTTACTTTTAAAAATTACATACTCCAGACGTTTCGGTTGCTACAAAATATTAGTTTCATTTAAATGAATACTCGCGTAAGTCATAGATCTCATCGTGTCAAATGATTCTAGCGTGAGGAAGAGTATTGGGTGTCAGCGCACTCTGAGGAAGAAGCGATTGAGAAAGCATCAGCGAAACTTAATATTCCCGTTGATGAGATCAAATTGACGAGAGATGAAGATGTATTGGACACGTGGTTCTCATCCGGACTATTCCCATTCGCTATCTTCGGCTGGCCTGATAACACTGAAGATCTACAGGTAGGCTATATGGACTATAAATGACTATACAGGATACTTATAGTATGAATGGGCAGAATACTTGGACTATATGGCAGTGTAGGATTCTTGGACTATACGACCCTATAGGATACTTGGACTATACGCCAATATTTGGACTCTAAATGGCCATACAGGATATCTTAGGAAATAATACAGTAATACCTCGGACTTACGCGATAGGTGGGACTGAGTGCTATCCGCGTAAGTCGAATTCGCGTAAGTCGGGGTACAATTTTGCATATAAAGTCATACAAAGTATGTTTAATTCGGACTGGAGACTAAATAAAACAATAATTTAGGAAATAATTAGTATCTAATTCTAGATAATATGACAAACTATATTAATAGAGTGTATAAACACAATCCGAAGTTATTTTGATGTAGAAGGTTTCATAAATTGTAACAAAGTCGTCTGATAAGTCAATGATTTTTTCTTCTCCCGTAATATCTCCTCGTAGCATCCTAGTAATTTTTTTATTCCATTTTTTGTAACAAAAATTTGCTTTTCATTGGAGTCTATGCTTTCCAAAATTGTTAACCCTTTCTCAATCGAACTGAGGGCTTCTGTCAAGTTTCCAACTGTCATTTGATCTTCTAATTGAACTGGATCCAAAGAATCATTATCAATTTCTTCCTCTTGTTCATGTATTGTTATGAGCTCATCAATTGTAAGCTCCTCACTGTGTGATTCCAACAGCTCTTGAACATCATCACTATCCACTTCTAAATTTATTTGTCTACCAAGTTCGACAACGTCTTTGATCACACTGCAAATTTCATCAGGCCCTGGCACTGATTCCACCTGAGTCTCAGTGGAGAAAAAAAACTGAACGAATAATGATGCGGGCGGGGGGAGTCAGAAACAAACGCGGCCGCTTGACCTTGACTGCGCGGCGTTCAAACAAAAAAAAAAGAATATATGTATTAGAAAATTAAATCGCGTAACTCCGAATTCGCGTAAGTCGAGGTAGCGTAAGTCGGGGTATTACTGTACTGGGTTCTTATAGTGTGAATGAGTAGTTGTACTTATTGTCCTGTAGGAAATTTTGGACTATTTAAAAAATTAGGATACTTGGACTATAAATAAATATATTGGTAATGTGGACTCTTAATTAAGCATGTAGGAAGTTTGGATACTTGACCAGATACAAGCTTTTATGAGACCCAAATAATTTAGTAGAAATTAGTAGAAATAATTCCAAAAAAAGTTTTGGCTGAAACATAAATTCACACAAAAAATATAGACATCTACTTCTTAGTGATCTTTTTATTACTTTAGTTGGTTTTTAGAGTGTTAATATATTTTATTATTCACAGGCTTTCTATCCCGGTACACTACTGGAGACCGGTCACGATATTTTGTTCTTCTGGGTTGCCAGAATGGTGTTCTTTGGTCAACGGCTGCTAGGAAAATTGCCATTTAAGTATGTCATTTATATAATTACTATAATTATATGTAAAGAGTATCATCATTTTAATATCAAATATAAGTAAGCCAAAGAACAACAAATTTGGGAGTTTGTTATACTTTATGAATGAAAAAGTTCACGAACATTCTTTTGGTCATCCAAATTAATTTACAATTGCCCTTCAAGTATGTAATTAATTACTGTGTTTATGGTTAGAGGGCATCCTACATTACATAATACGATATATAATATTTTAAGCCAGCCAAGAAAGTAACAATTTTGAAAGGTTGTTTGTAGTTAGTTTATTAATAAAATTTTATAAACTTTCTTTTATCTTCCAAATAAAAAAAAAGCGTATAGACGAAGAAGATTTATTCCCAGAAAATGTTTATCATTCAGTAGATGTTATATATATGTGAATATTTCTCAGGGAAGTATACCTCCACCCAATGGTGCGTGATGCTCACGGTCGTAAGATGTCCAAGTCTCTGGGTAACGTGATCGACCCAGTGGACGTGGTGAGAGGCATCACGCTGGAACAGCTGCACCAACAGTTACTGGACTCGAACCTGGACCCTCGGGAAGTGGACCGTGCCAAGAAGGGACAGGCACAAGACTACCCCAACGGTATACCGGAGTGTGGGACCGATGCTTTGAGGTATTGTACCTACTGGTTGGATTGTACTGAATATAAAACTGATGGGTTTTGATGATATGACAAAGGATTTTAGATATTACAAGAAATATCACTACTGTATGCTAATACTATTGATCCTTAGTTTGGTTAAAATGACTTTATACAAATCATAAAAATTAATGTATTCAAATTTATCTTAAACTAGAAGACCCGGTTAACTTCGTTTCGCCCTATAATCAAGAAATATCTGTTACGTTTTTTTATTTATATTTTTGGAGTTTACCTATTAAAGCCATAAATCTCCGTGTTTTGAAGTGATTAGGAATGATTAATAGTTAATATGAGAGTTACACTGAGCTAGCAAAATAATAATTGTCAACGTTACTACTACACTTGATGCACAAACAATAACGATGGCCGACAACTGTGTAGGGAGTGAGAGAAGTCTAATTGTGTGAGAGAAACAGAAGACCGGCTTCGTTCTCATCCCTACTCCGTGCTGTTTACTGGGTCAGAAGTGACACCTTTAGATATCTGGCGGGGATAACTTATTAAATGACGATTGATCAGTTATCGACCGGAGATGAAAAATGATTAAATTACTAAAATAGTTATTAAAAAATAAGGGTTGATCGTAGAAGGGTGAAAATTTAGGATTGTATGTATTTTTGTACGTTGTATCATAAAAAAATAGTAATTAAAAATTTTGTCTAAACAATAAAAAAAAATAATTTAGGGGTGGACTACCCCTAACATTTAGGGGGATGAAAAATAGATGTTGGCCGATTCTCATAGCTACCGAATAAGCACAAAAAATTTCATCAAAATCGGTCAGGTTGTTTCGGAGGAGTATGGGCACGAAAACTGTGACACGAGAATTTTATATATTAGATATAATTTTTTAATATATATGGGTAACAACAAATAACTTTATATGACATTAAATCTACTTATTGAACAATCATATATTTATATACATTTATAAATTTTATTATTATAATGTCAGAATTGCAGTGTTAAATTTTTTTAAAAGAAATCATAAATAATGTTTTTTTTTGTGATTAGTTACATATGGATACATTCCTCAATAACGAATTTGGAGCGTAATACAAAAACTTGCTTTAAATAACTGGTCAATATGAATTAATCTGAAATAATTAATATGTTAATTTTCTTAAAGGTTCGCACTGTGCGCTATGACCGCGGGTCGCGACCTCAACCTTGACATCCAGCGGGTCCAAGGTTACCGCTTCTTCTGCAACAAGCTGTGGAACGCCACCAAGTTCGCTATGATGTACTTCCCACAGGACACCCTGTATAAAGTATGTATTAAGACTCAGAGAACTCCTTGTATATATTTCTATCTTTCACGCCTAAACCACTGAACTGATTTTAATGAAATTTGGTACAGAGATAGAGTTGACCTTGAGAAAGAACATAGGATAGTTTTTATCCCAGACTTTTGAAAGGTTCTCTTGGAAACGCGATATAACCGAACTCCACGCGGGCGAAGCTGCGGGCGGAAAGCCTTATAATTTCACAATTATAGGTATGAAATCATCAACCCGTCTTGAGCAAACGTGGTGATTATTTCAAATCTTCTCCATGTGAGAAGACCCCTTTACTCAGTAGTAAGCTCTGATAGTCTAATGTTGATTATATATAGATTATTATACTCATTTATCCTACTTGTAAATTAGGTGGCCTAGTGGTTAAGAGACCCGCTTCTCATGCTCGTAGGCGCGGCTTCGATCTTGGCTCGGGCAAGTACCAATACGATACTTCCGAGTCATATGTACATTCTGAGAGTATTTAGACATCACTGATTAATGCATTCCCAAAGAGGGTTGATGTCAGGCAGGCGGCCCGTCGTAAAAACAATTAGCCAAAACTATTCACAACATGTAAGGCAGACCCTGGCTAAAGATGGGTAATTGCCAGGTAGAAGAAGAAGATTTATCATAATTGTATGTCCACAGTGTCACATCTCCCCGCTCCCTTCCTCCCTTTCCCCTCTGGATCTGTGGATGTTGTCTCGCGTGTCGCTCGCCGTGCAGAAGGTTAACTCCGGTTTCCAGAACTACGACTTCCCATCAGCTACAACACACTGCTACAACCTCTGGCTCTATGATCTGTGTGATGTGTACTTGGTAAGTTAATTATAATATTCATATATTACAATATTCATATATGATATAATATATACAGGCTGACTGGTGAATTACTATCAATATTTAAGGAGAATACACGGTACATGATTCTCATTCGAATTATGAAAAAAAATAGGCACTTAATTTTTGACAAAATTTCCGTATAAATAAATAAAGTGTTGACACGTTCAAAGTGTTCCAAGTGTGGACGCGTGCGGCAGCGTGCTGATACAACACCACGCCCCCGCACGCGTATGTGTGTGTGTGTGTTTACTTAGTCTGTAGGGTGTTCACACGATGCGTAATTAATTACATAACTTTTGGTTAATTTTACTCAGAAGTTTATTAATATTTATGTAATATTAATTTTTATTTTGTCATATATGATCGTCAAATATCACGTCCTCAAGTATCGATAGTAATTCACCAGTCACCCTGTATACTCTTCATAGTCATAACTTGGTTAGTTGTTAGAAGTTAGAACCAAAATGAGATCATATCTCTTCGTATAATTCTTATAAGCTTTGTTAAAACCAAGATGAGATGATAAAATTTTATTTTTATTTACATTATTTGATGTAGAAATGAAATATGCAAGTGTATAACTGTGAATTTCAATTTGGAACAGTTAATATCCCCAGTTTGATTTTGATTTTTTCTCAGTGAGATAAGTGTTTATCCCTGGTTGGGAAGTTCTGGTTTGAGATGAATTTCTACCAGATCCTAGTTTAACTTTTAATAGATACATAATACATACATACATTGAACCTCCAAGCATCTATCCTCCTCTCTCTACTTAACCAAATTTGAAAGGAATCTACTAGGGCTGTCAAAATGCACGTTTCAAGAATGAACAATTTTTATATGAATATTGTTTGAATTCCAGGAATATCTGAAACCGGTGTTTACTCAGGGCAGCCCTGAAGCCCAGATTGCAGCCAGGCAGACTCTATACACAACCTTAGAACTTGGATTGAAGCTGCTATCACCGTTCATGCCCTTCATCACCGAGGAACTCTACCAGAGACTGCCACGAGAAGATAAATCTTGTCCATCTATATGTGTGGCAGAATATCCAACTGTAAGTTTAACATATGTAATACTACATATAAAGTAACTAGCTGACAATTTTTTCTTATATATTCTTGAGTTCTCTCTATTTATTTATTTTCAGATAACAAGGTCCACGTGTTAGTTACAAAAGTACTTAATAACTATCTATGATGCTTTGATTGATTTGATGACAAGTTTTGTTAATTTTTTCTTATTTCTATGTTTTCTTTGTTCATAGGATGAAACCACACCATGGAGAAACGAAGAATTAGAAGCGAATGTAGAAACAGCTCTCAAAATCGTTCACCTCATTCGTTCAACTCGCTCCGAATACAATCTGACGAATAAACAGCGAACAACTGTACATGTGGTGACCGAATTGAATGATGTCAAGGAATTGTTCAGGAGCCTGCAAACACTCGCTAATAGTGAACTAAGTGATGAGGCCCCGCCTGTGGGATGCTCTATACTTACAGTGTCTGATAAGATTGAAGTGCATTTGGTATTGAAGGTGAGCCTCGCGTGGATATACATATAAGGATTCACTGAACGGACTTGTTTAATAAGTAATAAATTGAAATTGCAATTTATAACTGTGATAAAACATTTTATATTATAATATTGTGGTTATGACGCAGAATTTTATTTAGTTGGTTCGATGCTGTCAGATTTGACGGCTAGAAAAATTTCGTATGGAAGAAAAGTTTGTGCTTTTCTTCTCTTTGATACAGTATTTTTGAAATGTCGAAATTTCATCAGTCTATATGGATTCTCCATTTATATGTTAACCTTTATCGGTCTAGAATATATTACAAATTAAAAAAAATTGTTACTATGGCCCATAGTTGTTAAATTTTGAACCAACACGTCTTTTTTTAACGTACAACTGATTTTTATTATTGCTTTACCTGACGATACATATATATATTCCATATATGAATTTAAATGTGACTAATATTATAACCGTGACCGCGGGTAGTCTTAGATCTTACTCTATGAATGTAGACACACGAATTCTGTTTACAGAGACTCATCGATCCTCAAAAAGAAATCACTAAATTGGAGAAGAAGAAAGAAAATCTGTCACAAACTATAAACAAACTGCAGCAGGCCATGGCGGCTGAAGATTACACCGTCAAAGTCCCAGCCGATGTTCAAAAACTTAACTCAGAAAAACTCATCACCTCTCAAGGAGAAATAGAAAGATTACAATCCGCGATAGAAACATTGAAACTTATGTAACGATTTAAACAGATTTTTTAATAAATAATACTATTTAAAAACTCTAAAGTATATAAGCATTTACTAAGTTATTTATTTTTCTATTGTCTGTGTATATTTTTGTCCAGTGACTGTTTCTCTGTTTTATTCTGTTACCAAGTTTACTTATAAAGGTGCATCAGACGGTGGCCATTAGTATGTAAGCGAGTCAAATTTAATATTTACAACATGTAATGTTTGCACTTGAGTGCGGTTTTTGTCTTCAAGTCTCAAAACGGAGCTTAATGTTATAAAAATATAATGAAACTTTCAAAATAAATCATCCAAAATTGTTGTTTTATTTGACTTCATATGATAAGGTCAACAAGACTAACAACTGAAGCTGAAGTTTTTTCCATGGATTGTCATATTTAGACTGTGAAAAACCAAGTTTTATTTTCCATATTTCAAAGTTAAGTCCATATTTTACAAGAAAATGTCACAATCATCCATATATGCACAAAAATACATAAAATTTACGTTCCGCCACTTATGTTTTGGATAAAAATAAAGTATTTATTATTATCATTTATAAATACGCTAAAAAAGTAACAAAATTCTGTGCGAAAGTTTTGAAGGCTGTAGACATGGCTTACACAATTACTGAATTAAGCATGTTTAAGTATGCACCCATCACGTCATGTGACGTGGAGAGATCATTCAGCAGATATAAGGCTATATTTCGACCAAATGGTCAGTTTTCATTTTGATAATTTAAAGAACGTCATTGTATATTGCAACCAATTGGGATTTTGAAAAAAAAAAAAGTATTGATTTTTTTTATGTATTTTAAAACTTTATTATTAATTATATTGATTTTTAATGCAAAAAACTTGAAAACATTTTTTTTTAATTAATTATAAACAATTAAAAATTGATAAAATTCAAAAATATATCACGTGACTGTAAACGCGCCATGATTGGTCAGCATACTTGTGACGTCATAATGTTAAAGCAATTTCATAATAGTACAGTGTTTATGGCTATTATCTTTAACTTGATAAAAATATCTCAAATTTATTAGTGAAAAACGATTTGAAAAGTTTATTTCGACTATGTGTGATAAAGGATTTATAAAAGCAAAATCGGATAATATTCCTGATGTTAATATATTTTTATGATAACTAATTTTTTAAAAAGTGCGGTTTAATTTTGCTGAAGTTCGAGGTGCTAAGACATCAAGGTAAGTCTGTCAAAAAATACTATTCTAAATGAAAATTAGTATTTATTCTCTATTAAATATAATTAATAATTATTTCATTAAATCATTATTAATAAAATGTTATTATAACATTATAAAAAAACCAAAATAACATATATGTACTTTAAAAATTTAAATGTAGTCTGATACAGAACCTAGAATGTTATAAAATTATGAAAATATCTATTAATTGAAGTCCAATTATTAGACAAACATATATATAGATTTACTATTTAATCGCTTTGAATTATCAATTAAAATTTTTTAATGCTACGATTCTAAAGGTTATGATTTGGAGCCCAGGTAAAAAAATTAATTATTGAACTATACTTATTCGATTTATACACTTAGATAAATAATAATTAATAACAATACTATTATGAAAACTTACAACGAAATGATCTTCACAACAAAAAAAAATCATTTTGTTTTTTAATAATCTCGATGCACTGCTTGAAACCATTTCTTTCGACGTTTTTCGTCTTGTGGAACATTTAAAAACATTTTTTCAGGAGTTGTTTTTGTAGTCTTTGTACATAATGGTACAAAACTTTTGATTATTTAACAATGCCAACAGAATTTACTAGATAAAAACTCAAAACACTGTACTAATTATTATATCTCTGTATGCTACAATGAGCAAAAACTAACATTGTGACGTCACACGCGCTCGGGTTTATTCACGAGCTGTCGGCTTGTCTTCGGTACTGAATTTAAAATTTAATTTTTATTTTGAAATAACTTTTTAAATATTGCAAAAAAAAATAAAATAAAAATAGTTTTGTTATTAAACTTATATATGATCTTTCCATTTATCACAAAAAAAAAATAATTCAAAAACCCAATTTGATAAGGCTATTGTAATGGAAGTTGAATAAAACTGTTATTTTTTGTTGAAATAAATATTTCGCTACTTTTTTATCGTCTTTTCAATTAAACTGTAACTATGTACGTCACGAGTGACCCTTTTCTTATAGTAAAACAATGTTTAATTATGAAAGTATTTTATTTTATACTCCATATTTTTGTTTTTTTCGTCCATATTTATGTACATATTTTAGATTTTTTAATCTATACTAATATTATAAAGCAGAAGAGTTTGTTTGTTTGTTTGAAAGCGCTAATCTCCGAAACTACTGATTCGAATTGAATAATTATTTGTGTTGGATAGTCCAGTTATCGAGGAAGGCTGTAGGCTATATAACATCACGCTACGACCAATAGGAGCAAAGATATTGTGGTAAATGTGTAAAAAACGGTAGAAATTATTTCATCTCTGAAGCCTTCCGTCGCGTGCGCCGTGAAAACGGTTCAAGATACACAAAAAATATGTGTTAAAGAAAAATAGCACTTTTAATGATCTAAAAAACAGTCCGGGACAGTATATGTCTATCTTTTAAGATTAACTCTCAAAAACCGTCTTCATGGTACCTAATTTGGTTGAAATAATTTGTTTAAGTTGTATCAACATAATAATATTAATCTTTATTCAAATAAACAAATAAATATGTTGTTGGTTAAGAGTACCTCATTGTGAATAAAAAAAAAACATAGGTTTTATCCTGAAAATTCTACGGGAACTCGACCATTCCGAAAACCCCGCAAGAACGGGAACTATGTGGAAAGAACCAAAAATCTGCCGGAAGTCACTATTCCACGCGGACGGAGTCGCGGCAAAAGCTAGTACATATACTTATATCCGGGCTCTAATTATCACATTTGAACGCAACCGATACAAAATATTAAAATGCTACTATCAAGGGATGTAAGAAGTGTATTCAAAATTTTTTTTCCTCATAAACCAATTAATTTTAATTAAGAAAAATCAGTGAAAAGTAGCTTTCGTTATCTTTAAATCCCCCAATGTATCTTTGTAAAAGTTGATGCGAAAGTACTACAATTTATGATCTATATTTTTCCAAATTTCGGAAAGTTCATACATTCTGAAGGCCCTATTTTAAAGTTTTACTCCACTGTAAATATTTTATGCAACTGAAATAAAAAGTAACCTTATAGTAAAGTAGCTAGTGTACACACTATTGTCATCATGGCAATTATTCCAACTCATCCTAACGTAAATGTCGCAATCAAATATATCTGCTTTTTTTTAAACTTTTATACCGAAGTCGCCATCTTGAATATGAATAATAATCAGCTAAATATTTAAATGTAAGTTATCGCTATTCGCTAATCATATTCACACTGCGTGACCAATAACGCTGGCTGCCATTAATGCTTATTTTTCTTGTCAACATGTTGGATATGTAGGAGATGTTGTTTTAATTTTTATACAATTTTAAGAAGCTAAGCTCTTTGCGTAAGAAAGGCACTAAAGAAATATACTTTTTGTACCCGATTTGTGGTTATGGCTGGTGTCCCGTGTACTGGAGCTGTAACATCAGCAGGAATATTGGGATCTTTTAATTTGACGACATAAATATATTTCTTAAACAACTTAATGATAAATCTATTAAATATTAAAGAATGCCATAGTTACAAAAAGTTACAAGTTATATAACAAATAAATTTTTCTTCAAATTGTTTTTCACGACATATGGTTTTCGTTTAAACAACTTACTTATATTTATGTTGCATTGCACAAAAACTTTCATTAAAATGTGTGATAATAGACAGTTATTGAGGGAGATGGGTTTAAAATGTTGTATACTTCATTTTATCCCATTATCAATTATGTTATTCAGTATCGAAACTGCTATTTAAAAAAAAAAACCTTCAATACCGCTGAAATCACACTACTTATAGGTACGTGGTAGATGTATATTATTAATTACTGTATGAATAAAACAGTCAACAAAGTATTATAAAGGCTTAAGACCAAGGGCACACCGTACAATAAAGATCTTAGGTTTATAATTACTCCAGCAAATGGGTAGGAAGCATTAAATTTTTCACCTTTCTGTAGTGCGTTTACTATTAGTGAAGATCTTAGAGTAAAACACTCTTTTGTAAAAAGTGTATCTTACCACAAATTTACCTTGGAACAATAATTTTGGAAACAATATGTTCTAGATTAATATGCTATTTAATTAATGACTACTATCAAAGGATGTGATCTTAATCAATATAAGAAATCGAATGTTATTTATTGCCAAAATATTAATTATTGCCATCATAGATTTATTTAGTTACTAAAAAAATCTAACTTAACTTAGTTTTTGTAAAAAAAAAGTTATAAAAAACGTACCTATTTGTTTATTTCAGAATCAGTACCTAAAACCTTAGAACTCAGTGTGTAGATGAAGTTGTGACATTGACAATTCTCAAAAATTTTGACGTTACCTTATTTATATTTTTTAAAAATTACAGAAAGTCAGGATCACTTGCTAAGTCATTAATTGTTATTTATTTGTATTAACTTTTACTGTAAATATTTTTCTTAAATAATGGAATTCCCATCACTGGGTGAACAATGCCAAAACCAAAGTTGCAATCAGATAGATTTCTTACCTTTACAATGTAAATGTGGCAAAACATTTTGTCGGGAACATTTTAATGAACATTGCCTGTCTGGTGATTGCGAACTAGCTCCTGAACCTCGGGAAGTTAAATTTCAAAGTGACGACAAGATATACAAATGTTCTGAAAGCAGTTGTAAAAAGGGAAATCTGCATGAAATGCTTTGTAATAAATGTTCTAAACACTTTTGTATTGAACATAGGTTTCATCCGTGAGTTGCTTTTATGATTTAATATAACAGTTTTATATAATATTAATAGCCTTTGTAATAAATATTTGAACTCACTGAATATTCTTTCAGGTCATGTCCAGAGATAGATGATGAAACAATGGCAACAAAGATAGAGCAATTGGAAGCACCCAGAAGGCAGTTCAGAGAAGCAAATAAACATTTAGAAGAAAAGGTATCTAATATGTCCTACATATACTACTAAACAAATATCAGTATGTCCCTAATACTAAATTTTGTTTCTTTAAATAAATTCATTAAAAAAACATATCTAATATATAAAATTCTCGTGTCACAGTTTTCGTGCCCATACTCCTCCGAAACAACCTGACCGATTTTGATGAAATTTTTTGTGCTTATTCGGTAGCTATGAGAATCGGCCAACATCTATTTTTCATCCCCCTAAATGTTAGGGGTAGTCCACCCCTAAATTTTTTTTTTATATTTTTTAGACAAAATTTTTAATTACTATTTTTTTATGATACAACGTACAAAAATACATATAACCCTAAATTTTCACCCCTCTGAGATCAACCCTTATTTTTTATTGAGGCAGTACGAGGTCTGCCGGGTCAGCTAGTTTTTATCTAAAAGATAAGTTGTAACAAGTCACATAGCATAATGCTAACATTGAATTAAAAAACTTATAAGGAAGCATTCCCTTGTAACTTTACCATTAATGATTACTTTTAGTAAATCAGTTTTGTCTTTATACAGGGTGACTGGTGAGTTACTATCAATATTTAAGGAGCATACTCGGTACATGATTCTCATTCGAATTATGTAAAAAAAATAGGTACTTAATTTTTGACCAAATTTCCGTATAAATAAATAAAGTTTGGATACGTACTCATCCTTGCCGGCGCCAGTGTGTCGCTACTCCCCAACCCCGCCCCGTGGCTAGCGGGCCATTAGTCGGCTATTAGTCGCGCCAGCGCCGCCGTAAAGTCCGTACGTTCGTCTTCCCGCGCGCGCGCGCCTAGCGATCGATCTTACGCGTATACCTAATAATAATCTGTCGTGTGTGCGTGTGACCCGTTATTACTTATTAGTAATTAAATATGGCTTTTCAATACACAAATGCAGAATACTTGGACATGGTTTATGCGTATGCGCGTGCAAATGAAAGCTTGCGGGGCGCAATCAATTTGTACCGGGAGATGTTCCCCAATCGTCGAGTACCTACGGCCAGCGTCATCTTAAACGCTAATCAAAGATTACGAGACTTCGGACAGTTCCGTGTTCCAACACATGCCCAAGGAAACGTCTTGTGTATGCTACAATGTATGTCAACAGAGAGGAGTTGAAATTAAAAATCAATAGTGCTTTCGAAACTATTAAAAGTGACCCATTCGTATTAAATCGTGTGAAAGACAATATGTGTAAACGTGCCGAACTGTGTATCACACGAGAAGGAGCTCGCTTTGAACATTTGTTAAGGTTAGTGTAGTTATGTAGGTAAATAGGTAGTTTAATGATTGACAATTGTTGTAAATAAGAATGATTCCATTTTTAAATACGCCGGAAATACCAAGATAGGTAAACAGTTCATATTATTTTTCGTGTCAAGGTCACACCATTTACCTAGTCAATAAATTGGTTGCTTAAACGAAAGAAATATCTTGGTATTTTTGCCTGTCCTAAGCCAGGATTAAAGTATGAAGGGAATTGGATCATTTTTGTTTATCTAAGGTCTAACACGCGGCGGCGCGCGGCGTTTGGATGTAGGTAAACGACCGCGCGATAACTACATATACCTACGTACATAACTGTTTTGTGTCGATAACGCAGCTAGGGTATCCACGCGATCCGTAATTAATTACATAACTTTTGGTTAACTTTACTTAGAAGTTTATTAATATTTATGTTATATTAATTTTTATTTTGTCATATATGATCGTCAACTACCACGTCCTTAAATATTGATAGTAACTCACCAGTCACCCTGTATATGCTTGTATTATAATTCTAAAATGATTTATATGAATAATATTATTCCTTTTTATCTTATAGATAACCGAAAATATAAGAAAAGCATTACAATCTTCAGCAAAGGTGAAAACTGCATCTAAGATACATTTAATGAGGATAAAACAAAAAGCACTCGGCCCAAAGTCGGTTCCAGTCGGCAACAGAGTATATTTTGCTGTAAAAAAACCATTAAATGCTGATCCAAAACCAGTGACTATTGTAAAAAATGTGGATGATATAAATAACTTAAAAAATATGGAGGCAGCATTAAATCCCGACCTGAAAGATACTGTTCCCGTTTTTATTTCATCTAAATGGAGTTTAGGGAGGGCCATAGATTCTATCTGTGATACTTGTAATGTACTTAACAATAATAATAAAATGGGAGAAATTAAGTTAAGGTTATTTCGGCAATTGGACGGCTATTGTGTGAGTCCTATGAAAATGGATGTTGAAATATCCGAGTTGCTCGAGAAGCAAGTGTTGTTCGAAGGAGATAAACTTGTCATAGAATATGTTAGCAAAAATGTTTTATATGATTTAGAAGATGACACGCAAATATTTTTAAGTAACACAGAGTAATATATTTTATTTTATTTGTCATGTGTTTTTCATTCAACATTATTTGAAACCCTAACAGGATTTTGATTTTTTTATTTAGTTTTATTGGTTGATGGAGTGGAAAAATAAAATAAAATACAATAAATAATCCTATATAATTAAATTTACAAATTAATATTATCATTAAACTAGAATAATTTGGAGGTTTCTTGCTGTGGTTCCTTTTGTGAGGGTGGGTTGCAGTGAACCAGGGGTAATGCTGATGGATGTGTTTGGGCTGTGGGGGGTGGTGGGGGCTTCTTGTATCGCTCCACCAACCAACCACACCAGCCTGTCCGAGCCACCAGTCTTATTAGATCTCTCCGGTACTGTTTTGTTAATATCGCGTAGAGGAATGGATTCGCGCACGCATTTAAAGGATAGAAAAAGACTAGCAAGACCTTTCCGTGACTGACATCTACTAGTGGCACTCCTGCTAATGCTGTTACCCCGAAAAATGCGACCGGCGCCCAACAGAGTAGATCCGTTCCTATAAGAAGCGCCATTTTGTTAGCCATTTTCCTCTCAGCAGCCGCCGCCGCCCCTCTCCCTCCATATTTCTCGCCACCGCCCCCCAAAGACCTGTATATTTGTACGTAGCAAACCACGATCGTCACCCAAGCCACGGCGTTAGTAAGGAACAGACTGCCCTGGTATATGGCATCACCGACGTTTTCGCTTTCCACCGGCAGGCAAATAGAGGTGGATGAATAGTCTGATACACCGACTAACGGTAGACCCGCCATCATGATGGAGAACAGCCAGCCACCGGTCATTATCTTAGAGGCTGCCGGCAAAGATATCCGTCTCTCCAAGTATATAGCGTACGTGATTGCGAACCAGCGCTCCAAAGTCACAATCGTTAGAGTGAAGACAGATAATTGCCCTGAGAATACCGATAGGAACCCGGCCACCTTGCATCCTATACCATACTGCCAGTTGTACGCGTAATTGAAGAATTCTCCGTACGATCTCAGGTCGACGACAGCTAACATCGCGAGGTACACGCCCGTGCAGAGGTCGGAGAAGGCGAGGTTGCACATGAGGAAGCGAGGCACGGTGAGATCCCGAGGGTGAGCCAGTAGGACGCCCAACACGGCCGCGTTCCCCGCCACCGCCGCGCCAACCACCACCCACACACACACACGCAGCCACAACCAACCCATGACGTCTTCACACGGGTTCAACGCGTCCGGGAGAGGAGTGCACTCTATCACGCGACGGCTGGACAACAAATATACAATACATTAAGAAACGGTAAAAAATAGGAACTGGAAATAAGGCAAAAGAAGTAGCAGTTCAGAAGTAACATTACTTGGACATATAATTTTAAAATAAGAAGATATATGGCGAATTTGTCAAGTTCATTGAAATATAATTGATATGGAGAACGACCAGGACGTATTTTTTATAGATATAATTAAGAGAAGGGCTGAGAACGATATATTTTTGTTTTAGATTTCATATCTGTGTCTTTTATCATCTCTGTTATAATATTTGTTCTGAGATTCAAAGATAATATAAGTATAGATCACCTCAGACTAAAGTTGCCACACTCAGCGAAGTACGGTACTCCTATACTGTTGTTGACTATCTCATGGAAACCATCATCATACTCGAAGCTGCCGGAGTCAGAAAAATACTCCTCGCTGGTCCACAGATCGACATCCTCCGTTGATAAACTGGACTCATTGAAACTGGCGTATTAAAAATGTTATAGTTATTACTAATCAAATTAATTTTAATGCAATTTTCTTTATTTAATTCTTATAAACTCACTCTGAAGAAGTCGTTGACTTTTGAAAGTCTTGATTTGAATTAACGGCTCTTCTTTTTCTCGGTTCTTGTGTTTTCTTTTCCTCATTGTTGCCGCACCTCTATAAATTAACAAATATTAGTTATACGTAAAATTATTTGTAAAAGAAGTAATAGTTTACTGTTTATCCAAATCACCTTAACATAATATGTAGGTACTTATTAATCGAGGCATTAAAAAATATATTTCTCATTGTTATTTTTTGTGATTACTACTTAAATGTCTTAAATCTCAAAGAAGTTCTGTCACACGTAAGTTAACAAAGTTTTTGAATAACAAGAAATGGTTCTTAAAGTATAACTTATTAACAATTAATGTGTACTAACATCATTAAAATCCTTACGTATTAAAAGAAAAGACGTAACTAAAATTGAGAGACTGAGTTTTGTTTTGAAAAAACTACCCAGATTTTCGTAGGCATATTTAAATCTCTTAATAGATTATATTAATTGCAATCATAAATATATCTTAACATAAAGCAAGGACAAGCTATTAGCTTACTTATTAAGTACAAATGCAAGAGTACATTATATTGTATCTGTATGAATACATCAATATAATGAATCAAATCAAATCACGGTCGGAGTTGTCCCGGGAGCCAGACGGTAATATTGATTTTCCGTGCACCGGCGCTATACGAGTTACGGCCACTAGCCGATACACCCGGGTACATTCAGTCCACTTAGAGTGATCGTCTCCAACACATCAATTGGTAAGTAGAATTTATTCACCATATTCAATATTTTAACATACTAATAGTTGAAATTTAATTAAGTTAAAAGTATTTTCTTTGTCAATATTCACAATTTTAGATTATTATGTTTTTTTTACACGCGAATTTAATATTATGTTATGTCACTTCGTTGATTGTTTACAAACATAACTATTATAGAAGCTATGCAGTTTCGTTACGTATTTTATGTGACATGCGATTTTTTTAAAAAATATATTTTATAAATTATATTTGTGGAGGCTATGATGAATTGTTATTGGGTATATTTTCCCACGTAATGTTTTGATAGATAATTTCCGAAATGTTTTATTAAAAAAATCCTCAAAGTGTATCTTTTTCATTATTATTTATTTTTTGTAAATATATTTTTCAAAGGCATTAGCATAAAAAGACGTGAATAAGTTAGGATATTAAAAAAGACATACGTAATATTTTGATCTGACCTTCTACTATTATTAAAAAGAATCTTAAGAACCCTAAATGATTTCGATTATCAAGTGCTTTAGGTACACTTGCAATCAGTACATCATTGGTGAGGTTTGGGGGGTGGGGTTAGTTTAATGGCGCATGTATTGAAATTGCATCTGAGGGGGTGCAGGTAAAGCGCATGCGACCTTCAGGAATCAATTCCTATTTTCTAGTGTTCACTTATAACTAGGATAGTGGTTTGACGTCGGGGTGTGGTGAAATATATTCTTGAAGGACTTGGTACGTTAGTTAATTAATATAATATTTCTTTATATAGCATTTAGTATTCTTTGATAGCCTTAGGATGTACTGAATCTTCTACCAACGATATAATCTCTATAGTCTATACGTTTGATAGATTTTTTGATCTCTGAAGCAACTCGTATCAGTAGGATGTATATTCATACCAAGTTACTTTCAGCGTCAGACCCTATGGAAGACAAGCTTTAGGTAAGGCTAGAGTTTGAAGTATATGAAATTACGTATCTGTGTGTGTGTGTGTGTGTGTGTGTGTGTGTGTGTGTATTTATGTGTGTGTGCGTTTCTTGTACCTTCTTCATGATCGCCAGCTGCGTCTCGTACAGCTGGTGTCTCGCTGGGTCATGTCTCTCTGGGAACGAGAACGCGCAGCAGTGGAAGTGGTGGGTCAGCTGCGCCCGCTCTAGGTGCTAGGGGGGGGGGGGGGGAGAAATTGTAATTATTATACAGAAATATACATGACAGAATTCTATCTGGAAAAAGAGTGATAGAATATTGTAAGTGAGATGGTCCTTTCTAACAAGTTTATAAAAGAGAAGTTTGCTCTTTAATTTCACTTTCATTATGTTGGTGACTCGTTATTTAGTTAAGGATACTTAATATGATTATATACGATATCGGGTATTAATACTTTTTCATTATACACCGATAGACCAACTGATATAAAGTGTAGACACAAAAGTCTCATTGAGTAAATGTTACAGTATTTGTCTGTTTCTTGAACCTTCCTGATAATCCCATGAACCTACTTGGAAGTCATATATCGATGGTATGTACTTCAAGGAAGGTGTCTTCTCTATTCTCAGTATTTCCAATTTCTCGAGTCCCTTAGTCGGCAGCGACGTAATGGCCGTGTCACTTAGATCTCTGGAAACGAAGCAATTATCTATATTATTTCTTTAATATACGTCATAATTTAAGGGCTCATTTAAGGCCCGTTTTCTGCTATATTTTGTAGTATAAATTGATTCATATAATGAATAATATAATCCTTCCCAAACTAAATTAATCAATAGTTAGGACATGCGCTGTTAGGAATCATTGTCTTAGGTTAGGTCTTTCGAGTTGAATCTGTAGCTTAGTAGAAGTCGGCATCGTGACGCTTCATGCGGAGTGTTAGCTATTTTTTTTACATTATTGTATTAAGTTATTTAAACGGGAAACGCGCTGTGTTTAGTGTGACGATTCAAACAAGGACTAAGGATACTGAAGTCTGATGCGATATGATATATTCTACGGGTGATTAGTAGCTATTGAACATGAAATGCTGTTATACTATATCAATTATCATTAATAAGGAGCTAGATTATTAAAAATATACGAATAAAACTACTTACAATTGCCGTAATAAAAGGTTTCCAGCGAAGGCCAGGTCGTCGAGCTTAGATAGTTTGGTGTTTCCTTTGAAGCTCCTATGTAAATAAATAAGAAATTTATATCGTACAAAATTGATAAAATATACGTATTAACAGACTCTATAGGGCCTTAGGAAATATCATCGCAATTTACATAGTTCTTATTAATGATAATTAGATGGCAGCACTCAAAGGTTTTGGAACAAAACTATTCAACATCATTGGGGATTGTTTTAAATGCTTTTAATTGACAATGATCTTTAATTTATATTTCATAAATATTTTTTTTTGTCTGAATTCAACTTTGAACAAATGATTTTAAAAACCTCAGCAGTATTAAAGTTCTTAGCTTCTAGTCGTGAGCTTGTTCATTCACAAATCAGTCTTTACATAGTTCAATACGATATCGACACACGACATGGGCGAAATGTATAAGGAAACTAAGAGAGAGATAGAGAGAAAGAGAGAGAGAGAGAGAAAATAAATTAATTGAATTTTAATCTACATTAAATAAAACGTTGAACTCACAGTTTAGATATCTGTGAGTTCTTGAAGGCGTGCGCGGGAACCTCCTCTATCAAGTTGTAGTTCAACGAACTGGAAATGATAATCATAATGATAATAATATACATACATATATCAATAAATATGTTTTTTTAACAAAGAGTCATGTTACAATATTTACATGCACTATATTCGTATGATCTTTATTTATATTACAGGATGACTGCGCAGGCGCAGCTGATGGCCAATAAACTTTAAGTGGCTTCCGGTCAAATGAGTCGATCAGTAAACAAAAGTTATGTGAGTATTATTTTTAAATATCTACGAAAGGTAGATGCAACACCATGCATTAAATCTTTTAATTATATAAACTTTTTGTAAGAACATATGAGGTTCTGTTTATGTTTGTATTACTTTTATTTACTAAAGAATATTGTAACAAACTTTATATCAATCAATCTTAATATATGTAGACCAGAATAACATGCAATAATTACAAGACATAGCTTTTAGGCTACTTCTGAATTACAGTTAAGTGTTTAAATTCAACAGTACTATTAATAAGCCAAATTGTAGAAGACAAAATATATGAAAAACTGCGGGAAATATATGCTTTAATAATTTAAATATAATGAAAGCAAATAAAAATATTGTGTTACAATATGTACCTATAACTTACACTTGGTCGGCGCGGACACGAAGCGCGTGCGCAGGGAGACGCTTAATGTGGTTACCTTCTAGGTCACTGGCAAACAAAAAATACTATCACGGTCATTATTATAATAACACATAAAGAAACATACATATTATATAAATAAAATGAAACGCCTGAATTTATTTAATAGCAATATTTTTTATGTCAGCTGTATTTCGTAGAAAAGAAGCTAATCAGAATAGTTCTAAAAAATGTTTCAATTCATATAAATTATTTGATATGTTTAAGTCGATTGATAAGACGTAATTAACATACGCTTAAAAAAATCAAACATTATTTAATCTAATGTAAAATTACCAAAAGATAAGTGTTTTCAGAGAATTCTTATGTTTTTTCCGTGACTTAATCTCTAGTCAGTATATTTCATAATAATTATAAATAATATAAACATTATTCGACTATGTCAATAAAAATTAACAGTCAAGTCATAAAAAATATTGTAAAAATTTTAAAATATTTATCGTCCTATATAATTATCTCTGGCCAGATTACCCTCGTGGAGAATTTAAGTACTTAATTCCCAAATATTTAATCGAGGAAAAACACAAGCAACTACATAGATAAATATTATTTTTAAATTCCAAAAATATAACAGATAACGTTAGAATTTTTTTATCATCTTGCAATTCAATTAAAATTCTTTTTCTTTATCCAATTATTGTTATAATCCTATACTATAATCGAGTATACTTAATTTTTTAAACAACATAAAATAAATGTCTTTAAAATCTATCACAAAATATGTATATACAGGAAAGTTGTGTTAATTACATTGTTTTTAACTTAAAAACGACTGTAGGGGTACGGTTGAAAATTGGCGGGGAGCTAGCTTAGAACCAGGAGACGGACATAGTATATTTAATTCTATCGAAAAATAAAAAACTTAATAAATTACAGAATCTAGTTATTTGCGGCCCCTAGGGGTTATAGATTTGCCCGGTGATGTGAGAGAATTTCGAAATTAACGCGTACGAAATCGCAGGCATAAACTTATTAAGATACATACTCGTATATATGAATTAATTATATAGAATTATATATATTTCATTAGTTATCAAAGTTAAAAAATGCTTTGAATCTGTGATAATACTCACACGGCTTGTAAATATGGTAGAGAGGTGTTGATCCTGTTATTGTCGTGGACGTGGCTAAGATTTGGAACTTCAAGTAGACCGGACGTTGTTATGATGCTGAGGGAAATGATTATGTAAATATTATATGTCAAAATAAATAATGTTTTAAGTAAACTTTAAAATAGTACATACGTACAAAGTGCGCAGTTCGGGCAGCGCTGGCAGTGGTGCTATCCTGTGTAGAAGGGGCGCTTGGGATATAAACCTGGAATTACGTTAATTAAATTATAATAATGAATTTGATTAGGTAGAGAGAGGAGCGTGGAAGTGGAGGTGAGCGTATAACGCGCGTTAGATAAGGGCCCATAAACCTACACCTGGGTCACAAGTCCCAGTCACTGTTGAAGCTCCTCTCACTACAACAATGGACCCGACACCCGCACGGTCCATCCATATTATTAACCTTTTTTTAAGATAAAGATAAGATAAATATCTTTATTTAACCTTTTTTTTATTTATCATACTCTCAATAGCAACATTCGATACGCTTCAAAAATTGTCAGCTCTTGCCTCTTAAATCGTACGCTAGTATTTTAACAAAATAAGTTTTATATATATATGTTTGTTCTGTTAGTTCGAAATAAGATTTGTAATCTTTCTTTGGGGACTAAGTAAACAGATTACATTTAAATTTATCTATTTGCAGACTAAAATAACTATGTATTTGCGAGTAGTAGCAATTTGTTAAGAAAATCAAAATATCAAAAATATTATTGATATATCTACGAATATATATGATTATGTTGGTAGAATTCTCTTAATTCCTAAAATTTGTACGTAATAATTGTATAAAACTCTATTTTACCCTTGAACACATGATACAATACAATACAATTACACCATACCGAAGAAAAGAAATTAAGGAATCAATAAATTAGTTAAATTAAAATATCTAATCTTTAACACTACTTCGGACGAAAAAATGTCTTAAAATTTTACTGCATTTTGGGTGGCTTAATTGATTAACATTTGGCATTATTTTATCCTAACATATGTCCGCATTTAGCAAGATCCAGAAGTGAATTTTTTGACCTCATATGTACATATAACCCTCATACGACTAGCAGAGCTTTATCTATCTTCTTCAGCTACCTGGCAATTTTTCCGATTTAGCAAGGATCTGCCTTACATGTTAGGAATAGTTTTGGCTAATAGTTTTTACGACCGGCTGCCTGCCTGTCATTAACGCTCTTTGAGAATGCATTAATCAGTGCTGTTTAAATACTCTTAGAAAGTACATATGTTTCGGAAAAATCACTAAGTTACTTGCCAGGATCGAACCCGCGCCCTCATGCACGAAAGGCGGGCCTTTTAACCACTAGGCCACCACTGATTTACAGCTTTATCTATATATTGTTTTTTTTATTGTAGGGTCTATTTTTATTAATAGTTACATGGTGTGTCTACAGCCAATGAGTTTTTAGGAGTTCTTCACTGCTGCATATATATTTTTTCACAATTTCCTGAAGAATATACGGAAAAGATATAAGAACAGTGAGATTTTCACAGTAATATACTTGGAAGGTCAATATTCTATTGTTCATCACGACAGCCTTTTAACGGGTAGGAAAGGCCCACCGTAATAATAGAACCATAGACTTGAAGATGTCGGCATCAAGTCGCCAGCAACCAACTGTAGGTCTCCAAAAATTGGATAAGAGGAAGTACGGACTATATATTAAAACGTTGCTTAGTATTAGATCTAATACAAACATTGCCTTTTGGGCTCCCTCTAGGCAAAAACCCCCCTCGTTAATCATACTACTCTTAACCCTTAGTAGTACTTCTAATACTGACTTTAGGATTCGATTAGTTAAGGCTTCAAGATCAGTTAAATCTCTCTTACTAATTTCATAAAAGCAGCTGAGAAATCTCGTAATATTTTAATCCATCTTAAATCCTATATAAAAGTATGTATCAATATTATCTTTAATATTCTTTGAGTTGATGGAATTTTTATTATAACTTTATCTTTGATAACACACAAGTAATTGACGTGTGTTATTTTTCGTACATCAATCGCGGCGATTTGACATTTTATTGAGACATCATATAAAGAAGATAAAGACATTATTTATAGCATCATTATAATATAGTGAAAAGTCGAATTTATTTTTATTGAAAATACATTCTTATCATTGAAAGATATTATCAAATGTATGAATCATTTATATATTAAAAGATCGGTATATTGTTTTAAAGTAAGTATAAATGTAGCTGAAGTAGAAGTTGTGTCGATATTATTAAAACATATTAGTCGTTTATTAACTAATTTGGTTCATGTCTTTGACTTTCTAATATATAACTTTAAGCTATTGGACTATTTAAAGGAATATCTAAATATATATGATGAGAATTGATTATTTTAAGCAGAAGAGTTTGTTTGTTACAAAAAATAATAAAGTTAAATAATTCATGAAATGTTCCCATATATATAATGTTGTGAATTACCCGAATATACGAGCATAAGTAATATTCGAGTATAGGATATTTTTATATTGAGAATTGCAGTGGTAAAGGAACAAAAGCTTAAAGTTAAGTTAGTATGTATAAGAAATGAATGTAACTCACAGTGATTTGAGATTAGGCATTTTCGTCAGATCTTCAACAGCAACGTACTCCAAGTTAGGCGCGTCGATAATAGATCTGAAATTTTAAAAATATATAATATATTGTGTGTACAATCATACAAAAATAAATAAAATAATACAAATGAATAATTACGAAATAGTTTTTCTTGTCATAATACATACTGAACATTATTTAGTCATGTGCAGTATATTCAAAACTAATTAATAGCTATTTTATTTAAAAAAACGGACAGTAATCTAACAATAAAAGTTTCATTTAAATGAATACTCGTGAACGTTCTAATTCTCGTTGAATTTCGTTCATTTTCGTGATACTTCACTTCACTTCACTTACAAATGTTCAACATCGTGAAGCTGGTAGCCGGCGGCGTGTATGAGCCTCGCTGTCAGACGAGTGATGTTGGTCTGGAGCAGCACCACCGACGACCTTGAAGCACTCGACTCACACACACTCGACTTAACTGAAATAATACATATACTATTATTATTACCAGCAAATATTGGAATTAAAATGTTCTTTAAGTTTTCACTGCTCTATAATGTAAATCTTATTTAGTAAAACCTTAGTCGGGATATTTTTTTTAGATTTCGAATAATTTTTTTTTTGGACGTAAACAATAAGTTCTAGTTGAGAAGTTTCAGTTCTTGTTTCAAGTGAACTTTAAATAAAAAATATATATATACGGCTATGCTTGTAATAGCAATAATAATTTTGACAAACGGAAATAAACATAGGATGGATATGCATGAATGAAATAATGACATGCTTATTAGATGGTTTCACAGATTTTATTCGGCAAATAATTCTTTTTGTGCATTTATAAAGACAATTCCATGAAAACATTAAGTCTATTATTATTATTATTAAATTTACAAATCACCATGATGAACTTTTTTCGTTCAAAATGTTTAAAAAACAAACTGTCCTTTATTCTAATTTCTACCACTACTTCGTTAATCTTAATGTTCATTTTATTTATAGGGAATAAAATACGTTTTCCGAAATTGGTAAAATTGTATCTAACATTTCTGTAAAATAATATTCATTACATATCTATGTACTCTAGTTAAAGAAATACCTAACACTAAGACTATTAAAAAAATAATAAATTGGTACCTATGTCATTAAACCTTGAACAATATATTAAGCTAATAAAAAAAGAATAAATTATGGCGAACAAGATTTAAATAAGAAAAATTGTTGCTTAGTAAATTCATATAAGCTACACGTGAAACATAAATATAATTGTATAATATAACCAATATATGAATACACTGCGGATGTTATAAGAATGTTCAGTTCATTTCCTCATATTAGTTTTATTAGTCTTTTGTTTGTTAACGTTATCAAGAGATATCAAGTACTGGAGCGATATCGGTTAATAATTGATTAAGTCAATCGCCACTCGTATAAATGTACACAAACTATAATAAATGTATATCTGTTGAACATCCGTATGAAATAATTCTCTCAATGAGAAAATTCTTACTTTGATATATAGGTATATGTATAATGTTTTTTTATTACCAACATATGGTATCAACGAAAATATTTACGATTGAGAAATTGTCTGTTGACTTTGAATTATGATAAAATTTATTTATAATCTGTGGAAAGCTTAAAATAGTGTTTATATTTTTTATAAGTCAAAGGACTCGAAACAGAATTGAAAACTTAGAGAGTTACATATCGTAGCCATAAATATTTACAACTGTAAAAATCAAATATAAAATATAAAAAAATTATAAAATCTCATTGAAGTCATTAGTAATGTAAAGAAGGATAGAAAAACTTAAAAAAATATTTATTTGTAGTGTTTTTAAAAGTCTTCAGATACAAGATTAAGATAATTAGTTTAATTTAAAATCACCATAACCATATTTGTGATCTAAATTTACAAAAACAAAACATTCAAAATGGCCGACAAGGTTTTCATAATGGCTTACAAATCAATGAGTTGCCATGGTTACCGCAAAAAATAGCTCTTCGTCAGTACTGGAATCACCAAAATGTCATATCATTAATTTAACGAGCAATTCCGAACACTATTCTTATCTTATCTATGAAGCCCTTAGATCTAGAAAAGTACGCCAATTATAATTATTATGCTACGGAATAAAGACATTCGTAGTTCCAAACTAAATTAGGCTCTTGTAAGTCTTCTTCAAACTCAAACGTCTATTTGACTTTCCACCCACGATCTTATCACAAAATAAATGTCTGAATAACAAATAAACGAGTAAAATCTTTTTATTTCATTATTTGCTGACCATTTTCGAGAAAGAATTTGTTATTTAATGAGACTTTGCTAATGATCTGTAGTGATGTAGCATTTTCTGTTCGGTAAATTGAGTTCTGAAAACTATATATGCATCGTATATGATATTAAATTGTTGACATAATACGTCAAAATATCAAATATTATATGACCTCGGCGTGACTTTGACATAACTTTTCATGTATCATGCACATCTGGACATAAAACTTTTAATAGAAAGTAATGCAAATATTATTAAATTCACAAGTTTTTTGATATCTATAAAATAGCAGATGTTTCGTTTTCTCTGGACATCAAATAAAACAATGTTTTAGTTCAAGAAACTTTAAAAATCGTCCATATTTGTTTTGCATTACTAAATTGTGTCAACTGTCATTATATTTGAAGGAAATATTCCAATTACCAAACGTCGTTTCCTAATTTTGCGTCCATTAACATTTGGGTAATGTTTTCGTGTTTCACAGACAGTTTAGGCGGAGTAATTATAGTTTGTTTACTTTAATAGATAAAACAATAGACATGTGTGTGTTTTAATTTTCTTAATAGTTTTCTAAGAAATTACACTGTCGTAGACGTCGGCAATTCAATTAAGGGACGTCTTTAAAATACAACTAGCGTTTAGTTTACACGTGACTTACATATTTACACCCCGGGCTTTGTGTGCTATTTGAAACTTTTTGTTGTTTACTTTTATATATACATTTTCTAATATGTGGGGTGCAATTATGTAGGTTACTGATACGTGTATTGTAATAAAAACTACATAAACTTATAACCTACACCTAAGACTACATGATTGCCCCGATGTTATGATAGCAATACCATTCCATAGCTTGTGTGGTATCAGGAATCTTCTGGTTCACACGGCTTGGTGTTCGTTCCGCGGAGTAAGCGGCGTCACTCGTTATATGATAATTTATACATACAACGATGTTCATTTGTTTTTTTAATATGTAGCGCGTACGTAACAAGGCTTCAAAAGTACATATTTAATTTTGAACATTTTTAATAGTTATTTATGTATATGTTGTAATTAAGTTAAATTAGATTTTCTTTATTTTGTGTAACATAATTCTATTTTTAAACGGTTTTTAATTTGGCGTTGCACAATGTAGGAGAGTATAAAGTGACAATTATCTAATCTGATATAGAAAGGAATAGCCCAGTGTTGATCAGATCTTGAAGGAGGAAGGTGATACAAGGAGATTGCACTTTTATGTACATATATAATACACACACACACACACACATATATATATATATACGACATCCTGCTATGTATTAAATATGGTTTTAAAAACAATAAACAACCTATGTATAAAGTACAGACGTGTAGTTAACTAGGTACATTTCAACGTATATATGTATTTTTATTATTTTATCACTTCTAACATTCGGTTCAAATCTAATTTCTCGAGACATGACTGTCCGCTGACAGTAATATTTAGTGACAATTTCCTTGACAATCCAATTATACTTACGTCTTATGTTTGCTATATGCATACTTACAAAGAATTTATATTTATACATATTATACAAATTATAAAATTTTTGAATGCTACCTTTATTACATTAGACCGTGAATGTTTTGATAATCATGTAAGGAGTTTTTAATGATTTCGTTTATAATTTATTGATATGATACACTTCTTTATTGTCTATTGTGTCTATGATCTATACTCTATGATGTCTATTTACCGTTTTTAATTTATTTTAATATTGGTATTGTCTTTCTTACGTCGAAAAATTTTCAATACTTAAAGTTTCCTATTTAAAGACTTTAATAATAAAATTAGATATTAATATAATTATAGAATGTTCTAATATTGTTATTATCAAAACTGAGCTTCTAATTTAGTGAGTAAATTATAGATGTGAATCATTTGAGTCATTGCAAACCAGACTAAAATATGTATAAGCCGGGAACAACGTAAATAAAATTAATATTATTACATGAGAAGAAATGTTTAGATTTTGGAGTTTGTGAATATTTTGAGTTATTTTGTTTTGTGATTTTATATTTTTTGTTTTGTAGATGTAATAATATTGACGTGTATATTTATTTAAACAAATTTTAAATCTTACTTTTCGTTAGTAGATGATTAATAAGACTTAATTCAAGAAGTGACTTCATTGGGTTAAATGAATTTATACCTTAATGGAAGTGAATCACAGTTATAAACAGACTTTCTCCTACCAATAAATGTGATATACGAATTTGAAATAATATGAAAAACTTCATATCTGTGTTTTAAACGACATCTACGATACGTGGTAATATAAAGTAATATAGTTAAACGTAACACTTAGTCTCTATATTTCACACTAATAAAACTTCGTCATATTTATATGAACTTATTAGAAAGAAAATTGAAAAACTACTAAGTATACTAAAGGAAGACTTTATATATGTAATGAATCATAATATGTATATTCCTTTTCTTAATACAGTTTGTAACCAAACAAAGAACAATCAAGTAATCATGAATTATAGAGTAAATAAAGCATAATTTTTAAAGAAAATATCTTTTTAAACGTTAGAAAACAAAAATTCATACCAATATTTGTTGCCGCCATTATAAATATACCTTCGTAAATGGAACACCAAATGTTAGTCGGGTCAGCCAAATATTTAACACGTTCTGTGACATTGTGTTAAAAATAAAGCTTTTAAAGTGCTTTTCATAATGTTAACGACATTTGTCACGCTTCATGAAAGAAGGTTTTACTGAATATAAATGAAAAATCATTTAAGTATATGACCGGCTCGATAATGTGTGCCTTTGTTAAAACAGTTTTAAAAATTATACACGATCAATCAATTATTGTTATAATGCCAATATTTTGATTTTCCTTTAATATGTTACTAGGTTTGATATAAACTAATAAATAAAACAAAATTATTGAAAAAATAAATTAAATTACAAAGAATTGAATCTAATAAGTCGTATAAAATAGATGACATTATATGCAGATCGGTAAGAATTATAATAATTAGATATTTTTAACAAACGCTGTTTATAAACCGCCCTAAAACATTAAACTTCAAATTGTGATGCGAGTTTATTATTATTATTTATACAATAATCTCATGAGATATGATTAACTGCTAAGTAATGAATGAATGGTATTTAGCGTTACAGAAAACAGTATTTTGACGTTTATACTATTTCGTTTATTAGTCCTAATGGAAATCTCAAGTCAAGTCTAAAGTCACTACGTATTTATATCTATACTAGTTTTAACCCGCGACTTCATTAGTATTATATATATATATATATATACAGGGTGACTGGTGAATTACTATCAATATTTAAGGAGAATACTCGGTACATGATTCTCATTCGAATTATGTAAAATAAATAGGTACTTAATTTTTGACCAAATTTCCGTATAAATAAATAAAGTGTGGACACGTTCCAAGTGTTCCAAGTGTGGACGCGTGAAGTGGCGTGGTAGTGTTGTGTGTGTATACCTAATCTGTAGAGTGTTCACACGATGCGTAATTAATTACATAACTTTTGGTTAACTTTACTAAGAAGTTTATTAATATTTATGTTATATTAATTTTTATTTCGTCATATATGATCGTCAAATATCACGTCCTCAAGTATCGATAGTAATTCACCAGTCACCCTGTATATTTCTTCCAACATACCAAAGTCCCCAAGTCAATATTAACTCTGTGCTAACGGGTCAGTTTGTTGGTAGGGTCACAGTTCACAGACACTCATCAACCATTTAAGGTTTAATTGTACTTTCGTTTGATGAAATATGATTCACAATACAGTACAGAGGAATATTAAATACATTTCTGATACATAATTACTATATTACATCCAGAATAAGTTAAACCTTACCTATTCTAATTGTATTGGATTTCAACTTGGAAACCTTATTGTTTGGAACTTAAATATCTTATTATTTTTCCATATCTTCAGATTTTAAAAACTTCTGCTCTTTAACAATCTAGATAAGTATGGAACAAACAGATAATTGCCACGGCGTGTCTCAAACAAAACACGAGAATAATTGGTTTGAACTTTGAAGTGTAGAGCGTACAAAGTAATTGATAGTTCAAATTGTGATCACATTTAATTAAAATATAAAATCATATACATAATCAATTTTATTTATCATCACCACAACAGAAAAGAATAAAGTTTCAGGGGATATAAATTTTCGGCAATACAAAGACTTAAAATTATGTTTATCTAAATGCTTGTCATTTAATCACACTATTCGCGGTGTTGTTTATTTTTTTAGTGCTAACTAATTTTATCAAAGTATTACAAATAACACATGATAATAAAACATCTTTATAACTTACAGAGCCTGCAAAGATAACACGTGATTAGACTCTAACTGTTCATAAATGACTTTTTGATTCCAAATCATTTTTTCAAAGGATTAAACGGTTTAAAAATATTTCTGAGTAAGTATTTAAAGTCTTCGACCAATGCGTCCTACCGGTTATGACCTACGGGGCTGAGACGTGGACACTCACTGTAAGACTAGTCCACAAACTCAAAGTCGCTTAGCGAGTTATGGAACGAGCTATGCTCGGCGTTTCTTTGAAGGACAGACTTCGAAACGAAGAAATCCGACGAAGAACCAAGGTTACCGACATAGCTCGTAGAATAAGCCAGCTGAAGTGGCAGTGGGCTGGTCACATCTGCAGAAGGACCGACGCACGGTGGAGCAAGCGTGTCCTTGAGTGGAGACCGCGTCTCGGCAAACGTAGAGTAGGACGCCCCCCAGCTAGGTGGACCGATGACCTTAAAAAGGTCGCTGGGTCTCACTGGATGCGGAAGGCAGAGGACCGAGTGTTATGGCGCGTGTTGGGAGAGGCCTATGTCCGGCAGTGGACTGCAATAGGCTAAGTGATGATGATGATGATGAAGTATTTGAGACGTGATACTCATAGTAAACATTCGAACAAATATATTTCTGATACATTATATGTAGCAAACTGAGATTGAACCTTGAGTGTTATTTTAAGGAGTCATCTTACGTCAGGAAATTGATAACACTGATAACTGATAACGGATTGATGTTTGATCTTTCGGCCGGTTCAAAAGATTTGACGGAGATAAAGAAATATATACGACCAAATAAAACTATCAAGAAATACAACAAACAATCTTTAAATGAACTAATATCACAAAATAACTTCTAAAATCGTAAATGTAGAGTTTTCTAATATTATATTCATGTTATGGATTTTTTTGAAAGTAAACCGAAATTTTATTTTATTATATCTGATCTTAATAAAACTGCCACAAACTCGCAAAAACAATCAAAATGATTGTCGTAAAATTTCGCTGATACAAATAGCATTCAGTCTGAAACTTCGCGTTTTGTGTGAATTACGGGAGGGATTTACTGTATTCTAGTATAACATAGATATTAGATATATTTATGTAGATACTTCTATCTATAGATTACACATACTTTATGCCCACGGCGCTTCATCTCAATAAATCTATGTATTTTATTCGTTGAAGCATCCCGTTTACAAAATAACATCTTTGTAAATCTATTGAAAAGTAACTTTTTACTGAAAAATTGCTATCGGCTAAACTAAGATAGCTTCCTTTTCACTGCAATCACTGAATTAAAATTTTAACTTTTTAGTCCGTAAATCTTATTGTTGAAGGTTTGATTGCTAAACAAAAGTCTTTTATTATTAATAATAATTATTATTATTTTTGATAGTTGTGCTTAATGACACCCTATATTCTGCACACATCTTCAAATACAACGTTTCTTAATAATGCTAAGTAGTTATTGCCACAATAATAAACTCACTCTTTTCAATAACATTAAAATATATATAGAATTAAGACTTTAGACTGGCCATAAATTATTAAAATAAATGAAATAGCTAGAACTCGTTTCTAACAGGTGCTTTTGAATTTTGTAAAATTTAATATAATCAACAAATTCTCATGACAGTGTAATTAATATATTAAGAACGAATCTATTTATATATGCTTATTTCTATTATTAATTATCTGTGCTTGGAGTTTCAGATCTCTTCATTTAAAATACTTTAATATTTTCTTTAGAAATGATCTTATAATTTACAATTATTTGTATTTTATATCCTCAATTATAATTTTAATTTCCACTGAGTTTTTTCTATGGAATATCTATTAAATTTATGCTAATTTACAGTAACGTTGTGGTTAAATATTTGTTCTCATTCCGTTCACAAATAACAATGCGAAAATCTAAGTTCTGTTTCCACCCGCATCATCGAGTAATTTTAAATAACACAACTAGAGTATTAAGAAGTATTAAAAAATATTATTAAACTTCTGTTTTATATATTGTTAATATTAAATACTTTTAAATTATATTATTATAATGACAATAAAATTAAAGGTTTTATTTATCTTTCTAAAATTATGAGTTTATCTGCCGTAATTCCGACAATTTTTCTTTGGTTCTGTATTTGATTTTAGTTATAAACTAAAGTCATATTAAAAAATTGCTCCCAAATAAAAACTTGATGGGACACCATTTATAGATATAAACTAGCTTTCCGCCCGCAGCTTCGCTCGCGTGGAGTTCGGTTATATCGCTTTTCCAAGAGAACCTTTCAAAGTCTGAGATAAAAACTATGTTATGTTCTTTCTCAAGGTCAACTCTATATCTGTACCAAATTTCATTTAAATCAATTCAGTGGTTTAGGAGTGAAAGCGTAACAGACAGACACACAGACAGAGTTACTTTCGCATTTATAATATTAGTATTGATAAAAGATCCATTTTAATAGTTTGATTAATGTGCATAAGTTTTATGTTTTTCATAATTTTCTTGTTATAAATATATCTTTTCATTATTCAGAATGATTTATTTCTGTTTGGGCGCAAAATTAATTATAACCCATATGTATTTGTTTGTTTATGTTAATTTAAAAGATGGTTGAATATGGACCGTTTCTGTGGACCGCTGCCAGATCAGCCTCAGTTCATTTACATTTTATGTATGTCTAGTTTCTGTTGAGATGTAATTTAGATGCTTGATTTAATAAATATTGTAAGAATATAGATCATATAAACAAGACTACTGAGTATTAGTATATCTATATATAAAAGAAAGTCGTGTTAGTTACGCTGTTTATAACTCAAGAACAGATGATAGATCTATGGATTCGGCTGAAAATTGATGAGGAGCTAGCTTAGCTTAGAACTAGCAGATAGATAAAGGATACTTTTCATCAGGATCCAAAATAAGTTTATTTACAGCGTCCAAAGTGGAACAGTTCGCCAATAATTTACACATCTCTAATTCTGAAAATGATGCTGACGTAGTCACGGGCAAAAACTAGTTTGCCCATAAAGTTTAATGTCAGAATTGCATATATTATTATACAAATAAATGTCATTGAAATAAGTTAGAATAGAGGAAAATTGTGATATATATTATACTTTTTAATTTATTAACCAACATCAAAGGAGACATTCAATATGATACCTGTATATGTATATTTTCTGTGCGTTTTTTTTAAACATAGTTAATTTATAGACTTCAAAAAAAATGTTATTTTATATTTAAAAGACACCTAA